CACGATGTGCCAGTCTTCTTACACTTCCAACAGTTTTTAAGGATATCCTGTTTCTCTGTAATGCTAAGGACTGTGAAAGACAGCATCTTTAATACATCCCAAACTACTTATTTGCCTTTACCTTCTGTAAGAGCTAAGAAGCTTGGACTCCTATTTTAAGAAAGCAAGGGTATTTTGATCTTTAAGAATATCTTCCCACCACATGAGCAAAAATTCCAAAGTTCTCCCAACTTGCATCTTTTGACAGCTGATTCAAATATAAAACTGATTCAATATGCAACCAAGTTACCTGAAAAAGGAGCCACAAATTTTCAAAAGCATAGGTGAAGTCTGACAGGCTTAGGTTCAAATTCCAAATGTGGGCAAAGAACTTAACTTTGGCCTTATTTTCAATAAGGACATGCAATCATTACTTCAAAGGGTTGTTACTAATGAGGTAGAAACTCTGGGCTCATAAAAAATGCTAGTATACACTATCTACCACTATACACCCTACACATTAGCATGTGTATGATTTTAGGTGATTTAGGGTCAAGGTTACTAAGGCAGGAAGAGAGGACAAGAGTTAATTTTAGAAGCAAATTACAAGGATGACCTCACATAGTTAACATTTATGGGTAAATCAGTAATTACAATATGCTCACAAGCTTCCAAAATAAAATCTCTTGATGTGTATAAAATGACCATTTAAATTGAAGCTGGGTGTGGTGGTTAACGCTTGTAATCCCAGCACCTGGTGGCCAGCTTGGGCTACATAATTAAGATGCAGTCTCAAAAAAAACAAACAAGACACAACTGGAGACAAAGGAATCCAGATTAATATGGATGACCCCTGTTACCTAAAACTACATATGGCCCTTCCCTGATCAGAAATCAGAATTTTGCCACCTTAGTTTTTATCATCTCTTAGCTCTGGTTTCTCTAAGGCAGAGATAACAAAAAACTGTACTCTCACTTGGCTATAGTAGCAGGTGTGAACATAAAAGTTTGGATCTTTAGAGGTGATTACAAAGGAATACAAACTCTAGTAACAACAAAATTAAATACAACACTCGGAAATCTTCTGTTTTTGAAAATGTCAGTAATACAAATCTGAGAGATGCAAACCAATCTGGACAAAGATCTCAAAGGAACATAGTACAAAGGAATATAGTACATTAGGCTAATCAGGTGGTTTTCTTAAGCTAAGTGTTTGTTTTTTTAAGATGACCTCTAACCGTACAGCCCAAGTGAGCCATGAAATTTCAATCCTCCATCTCCAGTGCTAGGATTTTCAGTCGTGCACTACCATGCCCAGCAGAGGTCAACTACCTCATATGATATGGTGATAACTGGGGGAAGAAGAAAAAGGCAAAATGGAAAGGGACAGCCAAAAAGAATTTTAAATACTGAACTAAATTTTCCATCTACACAGTTCATAATGGCATACTTATGTACCTTTATTTGAAAATTTACATAGGAGGATTCGGTAATTTTCTCTTGCCTTATACAGTTGATATATATAGCTGGTCTGAAAATATGAAGTTAATCTAATCTTGAGACTGCAGTAACAATAATGCTGTAATGTGTTGCAATTAATATCACAAATCTAAACAATGAAATCCTCTCTCCATTCCACATAAAAGAGAAAACAAGCATCTTAAAAAGTAAGCAGTAAGTTTCAACCTTGAAAGACTGAACTTGTTAAATGACAACTAAGGCTGACTGGGTATGTGTAAATTGTCAAAACTGACCTTTTGCTTCGAATTTGTGGTACAGCCATCTAAAGTGATTAGTACACAGCAGAGTCAAAGAAGTAGATCATCCAATTTAAGATTCTTTGGAGACAATGAAAGAATTCTGGGAAGTCATCATAGTGCAAATTATTACAGAAATCAACAGATGGACGTCTGTAAGATTAAGAAAATATATTCCAGAACTAAATCTTAAAGAGGAAAAGAAACACTAAGAAACAAAAATGTACAAGCTGGGTGCAGTGGCTCAAACCTATAATCCTAGCTACTTGGGAGGCAGAGATTGGGAGGGTCACAGTTTGAGGCCAGCCTGGGCATAAACTTTACAAGACCCCATCTAGTCAATGACTAGGCAAGGTGGCGTATGCCTGTCATCCCAAGCTTTGAGGGAGGCTGAGATTGGAAGGATCACAATTCAAGGTCAGCCCAGGCAAAAAAAGTTGAGACTCCCATCACAGAGGAACAAAGCTGGGCATGGTGGCACTGGCATGCACCTATCACCCCAGCTATAGGGATGACAATTAACCAATGCAAAAAGGGCTGGTGGAGTGGCCCAAGTATAGAGCACCTGTTTAGCAAGCACGAGGCCAAGTTCAACCTGTCAGTACTGCCAAAAAAGAAAAAAAAAAAAAAAAGATGTACATTCTGAAGAAGCAGGTTTATTTAGAACATTAAGAGAAAATTAGAAAAATGAAAATGGGGAGAGAGACAGACACCAATTAACAGGTTTGGTAAGACAGGAGATGATAAGGATATAGTTAAGGGGCTCTTACCTGGAAGTTTTTTAACTGTCTGGAGGCTTACAAGTTTCCATTATCTAGCATGGTAAAATCGAAGCACTACTTTAGGGTAGTACTTTTGGGCAGCAGTTTGGCCTAATTCTCAAAATTCCCTTGACTGATAAATCTAATGTACTTAGATCAGGTGCATTTTATAATGTTTTTAGTCATATGTATTAGGAACTCCATTTAGCCCAGCAAAATCCTACATTAAGCAAATCTGATTAACAGACAAGCATACTCTACAGAAAATGTACCCTTTAAAAAAAATACAAGCTAAACCATTCAGGAGGCGATCATGGTTCAAGGCCATCTCAGGTAAAAAAATAAGTGAGACCCTCATCTCAACAAACAAGCTGGGAAGGCAGCTATGCTCACCACTATACCACCAATGCAATAAACAAGCTGGGCATGACAGAACATGCATATAATCCCCACCACATGGGGGAACGAGGTAGAATGAGATCCAGGCTGGTTCTGAGCAAAAAAGCATGAGATCCTTTCTGTAAAATAACTAAGGTTAAAAAAAAGAAAAAGGGGATGGGGGAGCTAGAAGCATGGCTCAAGTGTTATAGCACCTGCTTGGTAAGGGCAAAACAAAGCCCAGGACCTGGGAGCTGGGGGAACCTAAGATGGGCATGGTATTGTACACCTGTAATCCTAGTACTTAGGAGGCAAAGGCAGGAAGACTGCAAGTTTTCTCTATATAAGCATGGGCTTATATAGAGAAAAGTCCCAAAAAAGAAAAAGATAAAAAAAAAAACAAACCACAAAACAAACAAAAATAGTACTAGATTAAAAAGTAAAGTTCTACTATAACAATCATTTTTAAGAAAAAGTTGAGCAGTAAAAATATGACTCTCCAAGCTCTTATAGATTAATTATAGTCAAAGGCACTAAGACACAGAAGGATTAAATCTGTTGTAAATACAAAGCTAGTTAGTAACTAAGGATTCTTGCCTCTGGTATAGGGCTGGATGTCCTCAACTTTATTCTCTTATCCTATGATCCTTTTCCCTTAGGATTAAAGGTACTGAAAATTTTAACAGAGTATGTCACTATCTTGTTTCCCTAAGAAGAAAATTTTAGAAATTCATCCAAGGAGGAACTTAGTTTTGCCTTTCCTGTTAGTGTTCAAGAACAACAACAAAAAAGTAGCTTGCAGGTCTATGTGGGCAGAAGGACAAATTAAAACTCCAGCATGTGTAAACAAGCTGTTAGCAAAGGTGTCTGCATCATCCTAAAGCCATCTTCCTTATGAACTGCCCCCTACATCTCGTATCAAAGGACTAGAAGTAAAGGAGCTGAACTCCTATGCTTTCTAAGGCTGAAATGAGGACAATTTGCTCCTCATTCACCCTACCCTCAGTTCTGAGGGTACAGAGCAAGTGCATTGCCACAAAAACTTAGACATTGAGAAAATTATAGTCCGAAAATGACATTAGTTCTTCAAGTCATCCATGGCATATACTTTATAACAGCTTAGACTGTAAAGAATTTTAATCATGGAATTATTTTTTTGTCTCAAAATTGTATTTACAATGAATGCACTTCTGACCATTCCATAATTCTTTGATGAATACTAACTTTCCTTCTGCTACATTACAAATTAGATATGTTTTAGTTTTTGTATTCTCCTACTATTGACAGATTTTAGGCACAAGAGTAAATACTAAATATACACATATTAATTTACTTTAAAAGTAGCTACTAACCACTGAAACCAAAGTAATTATGGGGATTTAAGAGCAGAGGTTCTCCTCATAAAGAAAAAAACATTCCCCCAACACTGTAACTTTGGGAAAAGCAACAAGAAGCTGAGAGGACTTTGCTAGATCCTTCTTTGCCTCAGCATCCCGGATCATCCTTTGTATAGTTAAATTTGCAATGCATTAAACTCAAGAATCTATGTTTTATTCAGAAATTTGGAAGGTATCACTAAAACCTTAGTGAAATTACAAATATTTCTCATAAAAAGGAACTATATGGAAATTTCCTGTGATAAATAATTTCTTAAAGTTCTCATTAAAAACTTAAGAGAAAGCTACATAAACCAAACTTCTTCATAAAAATATTGTATTTACACAACTCTCATTCGAAAGCAGTTTTAAAAAGCAAACACAACTTAACACTAAAGGTGAAAAATTTATGCTCAACCAAAGTCGCCAGGTCTAATGACAGAATACTACATCAAAAATAAGGCAATAATCCAAAATATACCATTAAACATTTCTCCACTCCCACAACTAGATAGAAGTAATCTAACTAGTAGCAAATGATCTTCCATTCAGTTTCAGCATGTCTGAAATCCTTAAGGACAGAAGTGATACACCTGTGTTCTTCATTCTTCATTAAACTCTTAGAACACTTGAAATAATTTCTAAAGCACGAGGTAAAGAGGTATAGTCTTTTGAGAAGATATTCAGTGTTCAAAGTTCAAGAACGCAGTATCAATACACATTGGGCATTAGTGAATATACACAATATGGTGATAGCAAATTAATTTATTTAGTACTTTTTCCATTCCATATCATCAGGAGGATTGATTTCAACTTTCCTTTTACCTACGTCTGACCAGTTGGTACTCAAAACTGTACCACCAGACTCCATCTGCAATAAAAAATAAAAATAGATCAATTACTAGGCCATATAATAGGGTATTTTCCTTAAAATATTCCAACCATAAAATCCTAAATATTGGCCATTATACATCATTCAATATAAATTCAAAACGTGCTCCCTTCAGCACATGTATATATACTAAAATTGGAACAATACAGAGAAGATTAGCATGGCTCCTGTGTAAGGATGACATGCAAATAAATTCATGAAGCATCCCATTTAAAAAAAAAAAAAAACCCTTAGAATTTTTATTTAATCTTAGGCTTTCCAGAGAGGTTAACAAACTCAAACAAATTTGAAAAGGAAACTCCAAATAATTAAGTGGAATGTCATCTATTCATACACTGCCATATCAAGTGCCATGTACTCCTCTGCCAAATGAAAATAAAATTGACTCCTACAGAAAACGATGTTGTAATCTTCTTTGCTGAATAAAATCTTTACCAGGAAAAATAAACTCTTTTCTATACAAGTTAAACAGAACTTTAAGAGCCCATACTCAATGTTCCCTCTGTGTGAAACACAAACAAGTGTACTCTGAAACTCTTTTAAAAATAAAGGATACCCTTTGGTATCGTCAGGTATATGGTTCCAAGGAAACCACTCCTGAGCAAAAGCTGTGAATACTCAGGACACACAGAATTCAGTACTCTAAAATTACTCACATTTATCAATACAGTACACACAACAGATCTAAACATACATGGAGTACACTACATCACCGTCACAAAAATCACACATTAAAACTGCTCACCAAAAACTAGATCTTACTTCAAGTTCTTTATCCTGAATACTGTAGATACTCTATTCATTTTTCCCATAACCCCACTCAACTTCTGCTAAAAGAATGCTGCCTTTCACAAACCTAAAAATTTTCAACTGATGGGGTGACTCAGGTGGTTGATTGCCTGCCTAGCAAGCATGAGGCCTTGAGTTCTAACTCCAGTACCACTAAAATAAATAAACAAATAAATAAAAATTTTCAATTTATCACTTAAGCACATTAAATGCCCTTTTTGGTTTTGGAGGATCACCATAACTTTTACCTTGCTTTTTGGGTACCATTTCTTTTTTGAGAGGTAGATTTTCACAGACTTTAGGGCAGAGAAACACTTAGCAGATCACACAACAATCTAAACACAAGTAAAGAGAACATGGGATGCACAGCTCCTCCACATCAACTAGGATGCATAATGCATGTGGAAGAATTTAAAACTTTTGGTTTTGAAATTTATTTTGATTTTTATTTTTGACCACACTTCGTCAAAACTGCATGCAATAAATCCACCAATAAAGTGGGCTTACTTTACCTGCAAAACAAGTACACAGTCAGCATATCCTGAAGAAGCCGTTACCTATTCATCATGTACTGAATGTAACACCTACCAGGGACCCTAGCATATAGTCATGGGCTGCATAACATTTAAGTCAACAATAAACTACACACATACATACTTATATATTTTTGGTGGTGGTGGGGTTTGAACTTATAGCTTCTTGAGTCACATTCCCAGCCCTGAACAGCATATGAAAAGATTATAATGGAGCTGGAAAACATACTGCCTTGAGATGTCCACAACACAATGTATACATCACTCAAGAGCAAAAGTGATGTTGGTGTGAACAGACCTACTGTGTTGCAGTAATACAAAGCAAAGCACACACATACAGTGTACAATATTTGATAATAAATGTTACTGGTTTATGTACTTATTACACTGGAGTTTTTATTGTTATTTGAGAAGTGAACTTTACTACTTGCTAAGAACTTTATAGTAAGAGAATATGCTGTTACACTTGTAGCAGCCTCATACATTTCCTGTTTACCCAATCTGTGGATTGCATTAAGAGGCCACGTCAGGCAGTCCAGATCAGTGGTAGAGCACATGCTTTATTAGCATGCACAAGGCCCTGGGTTTGATCCCTAACACCAGGCTCACATATAGAAGAGGACAAGAGTGACTGATCTATACCATTCAGATTTGTGTAAATACATTCACTGATGTTTGCATGAACATGAAAATCACTTAAATGTCTTTCTCTGAACACAGCTCACTGTTAAGCGATACATGACTATATATATATTTAAATATATTAATATTTAAAATATTTTAAATAGATGTGTTATTCACAAACACAGAAAGTTACATACCCTACTGTTACAACGGAACATCAAGATAATAATCCTTACGTTAAGATTCCTTACATGGGAGAAGAGTGCTCTTCCCTATCCAAGTTGGGGTTTTTTTTTTGGGGGGGGGGGTTGGACAGTACTGGAGTTTGAACTCAGGACCTCTTGAGCTATACTCCCAACCTATTTTGCTTTAGTTATTTTTCAAACAGGGTCTCAAGTTTTTGTCCAGGCTGGCCTGGCAGTGATCCTTCTATTTAAGTCTCCCACATAGTTGTTGGAATGATGAGTGTGTACCACCATACACAGCTTTATTGGTTAAGATGGGGTCTCACTAACCCTACCTTCCCCCTTCCCCTTCCCCACCAACTTCAAACTGTAATCCTCCCAATCTCTGCCTCCCAAGTACCTGGGATTAGATGTGAGCCACCATGCATGGCCCAAAGTTCTTTTGTTATCCTCCAACCATGAAATGTTACCATCTCTCAGTGGCCTTCTTTGACCCTAGTTATCAAGACTCTGCTCCTATACAATCCGACTTTTATGTAAGCATAACCACCATCAATACAGAATGTATTATACTGCAATGTTGCAATTTAAGGGTTTGCTTTCTTCTATCTACTTCCATACTTGACTGGAACTAAAGTAGACAGTTATTTGAGGCATGGAATATACTTTACTAACATAATTGCCCCTTGGTAGCTATAGAGGATTGGTTCTAGGCATACACCTGCCCCAAACACTGATTAAAAAAAAATCTGTGGTTACTCCCAGTTGCTCAACATAAAATGGTGCAGCATTTGCATATACCCTAAGCACATTAATACAGCATGTATTATATTGCAATGTATACTCTAAATCATCTCTAGATTTATAATATAATACACGTTAGGTTGCTGTCATATTGTATTATCTAGAGCATAAGAAAAAGTCTCCATATATTCAGCATAAACATTTTTCCCTAATATTTAAAATTCATAGTTGGCTGAATTCAGACAAAGAACTCTTGCATAGCAAGATGAATGTTCTTATATCCTATTTTTCTAAGCACAGTGTTACCTGAACATAGTAGGCATCAAATACAATGACTCAATTAAATGTGACAAGTCTGTAAAACAAACTACCCCTAAGAGGACCTTAAGTAATAAAACTGAAAGAAGTAACTTTAATTTATAATGTGGTCTACTCACTGATGAATTTATTTTCTCCTTCTCTGTTTATAGACCACAGTGTAATTTAACATTTCCCCGATTATTTTTACATGTTGGTCTTAACCAATTAAACTAGAAGATCAGAGAAGCCTATTTTGTGCCTTTTTTCCACAAACACCAAAGCAAGCCCTTGATCTGTTTAAGAGCAATGCTACCACACAGATGGTTTGTTTTATAGATATGTATGTTTCACTTAACAACCATCGTATTTTCTGTATGAATACTGATGCAGATTCCATAGTGCATTTTTGACTTAACACACTCCTATTTGATCGAGTATTCGTTTAAAAATCAATAGTCAGAGTGACTTCCCCATCTGGGAAGATTAAGTACATGTATTTTTCCTCATAAAAGTAAAATGGTTGTATCATCAAGAACAATAATATACATACTTCTACACTGATAAACCGTCACCAATTCATGTGGTATTTACACTGCTCTAGCAAAAGTCTGAACTTTCTAGATGTTCAGAAAATGGAAGGTCACTCAGCTATTGTGATAAGCACAATTTAAATAACTTTCTACACGACCACTATAACCTGTGTACTCTTAAATCTTCCTACTTCTACCTGACAACAAATGAGCTAGAATAAACCATTTACAAGTTTCCAACTTCTTCAACAATTACTCTAAGTTTATAGAGCAAGAAGAAATGTTAAAAACCTATTCAAAAACGTCTCCCAGCTAATAGTACATGCAACTTGGTCTCTTAACTACTTGTTGTTTCCTTAAATATCTATAATCAATTGCCATAATATTTTTTGGGGGGAAAAAAGTATATGTTCTTACAAATGATTTGTTCATGGCACGTTTCACTTCATCAGAACCATCTGAGTAAATCTGCTGAAATAATTTGTTTAAAGCTGCATCACCCTCCAACTTCTCATTCTTTTCTTCTTCTTTAATTTCACCAACCAATTTATCCCAATTTCTTGTGTAATGAGATGATGATGGATATAGGTTCTTCACATCTACAAAGTAAAAAAAAAAAAAAAGAAGTGACTAATCAACATGTTTTGATTATGTCAAGAATATGTAAACGTTGTGGACATGGTATACAGAACATCTCAGCAAGTAGTTTAGGTCATTGAATTTCAAATTTGCAGTAAGTATATCTTTGATATACTTATGTTTATACTTATGTTTATGATATAAACATAAGTAACTAGATTTACATTTCTAAAAACTGAATCAGCATAATACAAAATCTGACTTTTGAGCAAAACAACTCAATGTAGGCTTGTGGTACACTATACAAGATTAGATTAAAAACAAGATTCTTTATGTTAATGGGAAACTGGGTGAAGTATACAGGAACTTTTATATTTAAGGAAAATTTATAAGGTGACAAATAATTCTAAAAATACAAGTTTTTTTAAACAAATGCTTCATTAAAAATTCTTCATGTAAATAAGATTTTAATATTAAAATGTGGCTTTTTCAGAGTAGAAATAAACTAAAGATATAAATAATCACCTACAGTTAAGACCTCATCATCCTCTCCACACATTAAAAATATAACATTACTTCAACAGGAGATAGTAACGAATTCCTGAATGCTTAAAACATAAATTATCTATACAGAACAGAACCTAACAGTATTTATGCCCTACAAACACTGCTAACAGGCAATTTGCAGAGGGAGAAGGTACTCGCCCAGGAGCTCACGGTTTGTCAGGGCTGACCCAAAGACCAAGGGAATGAAGATTTTGGCACATAATTTAAAAATAACTAAATGAGCAAGTAGCAGCTATTTGTTATTCAATGAAGATACAATAATGGCCACACATATGAGCTACATATGATTTTAAAATCTACAGTTGTATGTTACTAAAAGAACTAAGATGAAATACATTTTAATATGTATTTTATTTACCTAGCATATTGGAAATTTCAACATGAAACTAATAAAAATATTATAATAGTTTATATTATTTTTGTATATATTACTTTCAAAATCTTGTAATTCATATCTCAATGAAGATTAGTCACATCTCAAGTGCTCAATAGGTACACGTGCCAGCAGCTACTGCACTGGATGATAGAGGTACTTCATTTTAAAAAACCTGATTTTAAATTTCTCTCAACACATAAGGACACAATTAATACTAATCTAAATGTTCTTCTCCAATAATGCTTTCTATATCCCTTTTCTCAAAATAGTTGAGAAACTATTGAATATTCATTTTTTCTTCATTTCTCTTTACCCACAAATAAGAACTTTCTCCCTGCCATTTTCCATCAAAACAAAATCCAATGGGACTTCATATAGTTTTATTCAGGGCAAATATATTGTTTTGAGAATCCTATTCACCTTCCCTGTACTAAAAATCCTATCTCTGTACATTTTTCACTAGTAGCTAAAGAAACAAAAAAATGCATGCCATGGTTAAGTTAAGGGCCTGAGAAACATGGATTTAATTCTTTCTAATGCTAAAACCCAGAAAGGATGAGAAGAGAGGTTCTAATCTCATTTTACAGATAAGAAAGCTGGCCCAGATAGGTTAACTGACTTGCCCTTATCTACAGTCTACAGCCTACAGTACATATTAATGTACATAGTAATATGACAAGCATATTAATTCCTTACAAAGACATAAGAGGACAGGAGGGAAAGAATCTTGAATATCTAAGGTATTGAGTTCAGAAAAAAACTTACTAACTCTAACACTAAAAATCCTTTTATATTTAATCTCAGAAAAACCTTAACATCTGGAGACAGTAGATGAGAGCTGAGTAATCTAACTACCTTGCTGATTCACTATATCAAATAACTGCAAAGATACAAAGAGACCATTTCCATTGTTCAAAAATGCAGCAACAAGAAGTATCACATATGGATTAACAGAAGAACCAGACCCAGACTCTGAACTCCTACAGCACTTTAATTCTAGAACATGAAACCTGGTAGGTGATTTTGAGCAAGGTGCTTAACCTCTCTCAGCCTGTAAAACAGAAATAATAATACTGGGCTGCCTATTAGGAGGGCTGTTGTTACCATTAAGTGAGACACTACATTTAAAATGACTCTTAAAAAGCTGTGCATTATATAAACCTCAACCCAAAAATCTCTGGTAGTCAGTTCAACATTTTTACTATCTCTTTCAAATATCAACTAGAACCATTTCAGTCCTTAAAACTTGCCTGTTGTTACTCATTTTCCTGGTTTTCTTAGTAATATTACAGACAAGTTATGATGTTATTAGGGGAAGTTGGATGAAGGGCACACAGAAACTATTTTTTGGCAACTTCTGTGTCTAAAATTACTTAAATACACACACAGAGCATCTGTTGAATAACTCGTTTTCTAAAAGTTGCCAAGTAAATGTGTTTTGTTATAAAAAAGTATTGAAAATCTGAAAGTAGCTGAGACACAATGATATTTTCTTTCAGTCATCAAATCAGAGTATTAACTAACAAATCAAGTAGCAATTTCTCCCCATTCATTAATGAGGCTATTATAGTAAAGTGCAATCTTAGGTTACTGTTCTTAAGAGTGTCCTGCAAATTAATTATTCCATTAGAAAAATGCTTACCTGCCTATTGCACATGCTTAAAACTGACCTCAACACAATGGTGTTCGTCTCTTGAAGATTCACATAATTAACCCTAGTTTTCTATTCTTCTCATGGGGCTTTCCTTAACACTCATTACCTATTTGTGTCCATCTCTTAAATTAGTAATATAATGAAATGGGCTTTACTCTGTGAAGCCCTGAAATTCTAGGAAATTAAGTCAACATCAACAACAGAAGAAACAAAAAGGAACAAATAAAGGCAGAGAGGAAAAACTCTATCAGCAAAGCAAAGTAATTCACAATCAGAAAAAAAGCAATACAAAAGTCAACACATAAAAACAACCTCCATCTAATGTCATAAATTGAAAAAATGTACAGGATCCCACAACTCTGGGATTTTGCTACCATTCTTGTATTCTTAAGAGTTTAGAAAATTAGAACATTTATGAAAGGCTACTCTGCATTCTTTAGAGAATAACTTTATCATATCCAATTTGTCTTTTCTTGGAAATATAAGTAATGAAAGTAGAAAGAAGGCTAATTACTATCTAATTTCAACTGCACAACACAATATGAATTTAAAGCTCATTATGCCAGCAAACAAACCTGCTATGAACTGTTTTGGTGTAGGCATGTCTCCTTGTCCCTCTAGCTTTTCCCATCTCACAGCCTCGGGCTTTTTCATTTTAATTTCAATCTGGAGGAAACACCAAATAAAATCCATTATTCAATGTAAAATACATAAATCAGTAAAAATGCAATTTTATTAAGTCATCAAAGTTTTATAAGAATAGTGTCTGACAACTGAAGTGCAGAAGGCTAAATGTGAAGAATTATGAAACATTTATATTGTTTCTACTCTTAGACTTCACCCTTCAAAAAACAACAAACACACAATATTAAGAATCTTGAAACCTAAATGCTTTTTTATTTTTCTGAAGTAGTGTTCTAAAACAGGGATGATTCTGCCACCCACAGGACACTGGGTAATGTCAGTATATATCTTTGGTTGTCACAACTAGAGGGGGAAAGCAAAAATAGGCATCTAGTAAACAGAAACCAGATATATAGCACACATACATATATACATAGAAATCAAATACATAGATGTATAGAACACTATAAATCCTACAAGGTATACAGCAACCCCTTACAACAGAATTATCTAGCTAAAAATGTCAGTAATACCACTGCTTTTAACCCTGTTCTAAAGAAATTACTATAGTCACGTGTGTTAACAAGTTTTAGAGAAACTTATTCCACTGCATAGAAATAATAAAACTACTGCTAACATTTACACAATCACCCATTCAACAAATAACTGCACGTTGACAATCCTTTTTGCTGGGTTAGTGGAGTGGTTCAAGAAGGAAAAGCAGCTGCCTAGCAAGCATGAGGCCCTACATTCAAAACCTACTGCCACCAAAAAAAAAAAAGAGAGAGAGAGAGAGAGAATTCTTTTGCTAAAAATGCCTGGGGTGGTCCCAAGCATTTAAGATTTCAGATTTTTTGGACTTTGGAGCATTTGCATACACACAATGAGATGTCTTGGGGATGGGACCAAAGTTTAAAAGATGACCTTCATTTATGTTGCATTTACACTTTATCCATATAGTCTGAAGATAATTTTGTACAATACACAATACAATACATAGTGTGTTTATGTTTTGACTATAACCTATCACATAGTCAGAAGTGGAATCCTCTACTACTGGTGACATATTAGTACTCAGAACGTGACAGATTTGGGAGCACTGAGAACTTGAGATTTTCATTATTAGGGATATTCAACCTGTATGAAACGCCAACTGTGAGTAGACCCATTAGTAAGAATGAAGAAAGGGTAGCTCTCCAGAGGCAAAGGGAATGGCATAAAACTGGAGGTCTGAGGAATGAAGAAAGTATTTTTTAAGACTCTCTAGAATTCCCTTAAGTGAACTATGATTACTTTTTCTAAAGTAAGACAGGACTAATATTTTCTAAAATACAGTATCATGTAATAGTACTTTGGTTATTTCAAGTTGTCACTCCTGGGGTATTTATCAAAAGGGGATGAAGTTCAATAGCTGGCAATGACACAGCAACTATTGCTGAAAAGGGCTATTGAATAGACTTTAAAAAAAAAACGAAGAGCAGGAGGGGAAAATAGATCTTTTCCAGGAGTGGGTACCAGTAGGTCGGGGGTGGGTATAATGAAAGGAGGACTAAGGGTGAATATGGTGGATGCATTTTGTATCCATATATGAAAACAGAAGACTGAAACTTGTTGAAATTGTTCTTAGAAGCGGAGGAGAAGGTAAGAGGGAGAATGATGGAGGGGGTAAATCTAAGATACTAAGATACATTCTAAGCACATATTTTAAGTATCACAATGTATTCCCCTATACTATCATATGTTAATTTTTTTAAAGGGGCTATTGGTATCATCCTAAAATTTAAAACTTTATCTCACTCCCTTAATTTTCAACTGGAAATGAGAGCCTGGAAAGCAGTATGTACACCACTATACTAAACTCAGCCCTGGGACATCCTATATTCATTCACATTTCAAGTGCTCCTACTATGTACTCTCTGTAAAAGCTCCTTGATTCACCTGAAGAGCAGCAGAGACTAGCACTCACATCTACTGAAACCACTATAACTTGAGTATTGTGCAGTGTGAACAAAGTGGCCTTTATAAGGACAAAGGCTTCTGCTCTTAGCAACAACCTGTCTCAACTGAGACAAGCTGACCTGAACTTCAAATTATACTTAATACATTCATTAAAATAAGCACATACTTAAAGGAACTTTTTAAAAAGGTAAAAAGGAAGGGAGGACTAACTTTGTGTGAATTCCTTTTTAAACTTTCTTCACTTTCAGAGCATGTACATGCTTTTAAAAACGAAACGTAAGCCTTATGATTCTGGCAGATAGCTCCAAAATTACCAGTTTAATTTCAAGAGGCTTTTTGTTATTAATTGCAACCACTAATAAACATATTTTATTTTCATTTAAGTAAAAAATTCTTCAAAAGTTAACTTAAAATGTTGGTAGTTTGCTTGAATATTGCTCTCATATGCACAGGTAAGGCTTCTGAGGCACAGTAATATCCCATGGCAGTATCTACAAGTTATTAATAAGAATCCCTGGCCACATGTGCAATTGGGCTAAGTAGCTGGGCTACTTAGGAGATGGAAACAGGAAGACTGCAAGTTTGATGTCAACCTGGGAAAAGTTAGCAAGACTATCTCAAAAACAAAAAACAGCTGGGCATTGGTGGCTCACTCCTGTAATCCTAGCTACTCAGGAGGCAGAGATCAGGAGGCTCACAGTTCGAAGCCAGCCTGGGCAAATAGTTCACGAGACCCTATCTCAAAAACACCCATCGCAAAAAGGGCTGGCAGAGTGGCTTGAAGTGAAGGCCCTGAGTTCAAACCCCAGTACTGGGGGTTGGGAGGTGGGGAAGGTAGGAAACAAGGCTGGGGGTATGGCTCAAGATATAGACTGCTTTCATAACATCAACAAGGCTCCAAGTTCAATGCCCAGGACCAAGAAAAACGGGAAAAAAAATTCCTATTATGCTGGAGCATTAGTTTTCCACATTCTATGTACTCCCATTCACTTCTGAAGTCTCCTCTGCTTGACGGAGAATTCATTAATTTTTCCCAATGAAAGAAACTTCAGATTTAAAAAGAAGCCATTGTTATTTCTAATCAATGATGGCATTCAGACACTATCTTCTTAAGAAGTGGTAAGATCCACTCACCACTACGACTAGTGAAGGGATCTTTTCTAGTACAAGGAACTGTGGCAGTTTATTGGCAAACTTGACAATCATGCTTCAAGACTGCAAACATTAAATCATTGTTCCTTGATCTTTAGATCGCAGCCTTTAACATTCTCTTATTTGGCTCTTTACACATTTAATTAGTATAATAAATCCCACTGTAATCTTAGAGCAGTAACTCAAGTCTTCCTGACGCCAGACTGATATATGTACTTTTTTGGGGGTGGTACTGGAGTCTGAATTCAGACACTCTATCACAGGCCTTGCCACCAGCCCTTTTTGCTTTAGTTATTTTTCCAAATAAGCTCTCCCATTTTTGCACCAGGCCAGCCTTGGACCACGATCCTCCTACCTATGCCTCCTACCTGTGGGTAACAGGCATGATGGAGTCTCACTTTTTGCCCAGGCTGGCCTACTACCTCAATCCTCTCAATTTCTGCCTCCCAACAAGCTAGATTATAGGTGTGAGCTCACCATGCCTGACCTAAATATTAACTCCTTTCTTCTTATACTCAAATCATTTAATAATCATTTTTAAGATGCAAAAATGGTAATGAATAGACAAGAACTGAAAGTTCTTCAAATTTCTAACTAATTCAAATGTTCACTGAATGCCTACTCTGAATCAAGGCCCTATGTTAGTAAACCAAACTTTGGTTGTTCTTTTTTTTTCCCCCTTGGTCATTATTTGCAATCAAATTCTATTCATATTGTTGTTCTTCAAGAGACACTGCCATGGAACAGCAAAATAACATTCCAGTGTACACCATGTGTAGTTAAGAGAGCTGTGTCCTGAAAAATATGTATTTTTTTTTTTAAGAAGGAAGTATGCTAAAATGTCATCAGTGACTCCAGTTTGTCATATGTAATGACAAACCTGTGTACTGGAAAATATCTAGCTATTCAGAAGTATGTTAAGATGTCATCAGTGGTGAGTCTGAGTGACTATTTATTTCTCAGCTCTAACATAATTTCCCAAACTTTCTATGATATGCACTTACTGCTTTTGCAGCCTTAAAAAAAACCTAAATAATAAGGATAAAACAATAGTAGCAACATTTATTATATATTTTTATATATTTTATAATATAAATATATTTATATATTTATATTATATATTATATATATTTATATATATAAATATATATATATTTATTATATATTATTATATATTGAGTACTTATTATATATTTTGTGTGCTAAGTACTTCACATGTCATCTCAAAAGAATCACCTTGTAAAAGGAAACTGTTTATATTTTTGAGATGAGGGAGCCAAGACACAGAATAACTTACTTGAATTTCAGCTAGAATTTTTACTCATTTCCTCAGAAATAAACAGGCATTGAGAACAAAAGCAAAACAATCAGCCATATAATTAGAAACAAGAGTCACAAATAGGTGACATTTGTTGTATGTTTAACTACAAGCAAGCAACTAGTCTCACTGAGTCTCAGTTTGAAATCACAAAAAAAATGCTTTCTCATTTAGGGTTCTCATTAGGAAAGACAATGTCTGAAAAGAATATAGCCCGGCACCTGGCAAATGACTAACAACTTAAGATTATCATCAATATTTTCATCATCATCTGGAAAATCCTAGGCAAGCTATCTAAAATGTTTTGGTTTTGTCTGTCTACCTCTAAAACTAGGAGTAAAAATACCTACACCATGCAATAATTGTGAAAATTCCATGAGATAATATATACTTCAGCTCCCTGCACGTGAGAACAGAATCAAAACACTTAGCTATCCTAACTCTCCACAGGCCAAATAAGCTACTGTACATGCATACAATAAAATATTTTGCTGTGGAACATTTAAATACATGAAAATAAATCAGCTATAATGAATGGCTAAGTTCTAAAACATAGCTATACATAGTATATACGGTATGATTCTTTTTTTAAAAATATACAAAAATGCATTAACTGGTTGCCTGTGGCTCATGCCTGTAAATCTTAGCTACCTGCGGGGCTGAGATTGGGAGGATCTTGAGTTGAGGATAGCCTAGGCAAAAGTTCAAGAGACCCAACTCCAAAATAAACAGAGCATAATGGACTGGAAGAGTGGCTAAAGAGGTAGAGTATCTGCTTTGCAAGTGCGAAGCCCTGAGCTCAAACCCCAGCCTCACCAAAAAAAGCCACACATATATATAAGTGAATATGCATGAATAAAAAAGATAACAAGAATACATTCTAAGATCTTAAATTTTGTGGATATTGGCAACTGAGTATATGAAAAGGCAAAAGAGAACAATTATCAAAACTCCTAATATTTATGTATTCAGATAAGCAACAGCAGCATGCCCAGAGACTCCTATTCCATTACATCATCTCTGAGATTCTTCCACATATTCTTATTCTTGTTTGAGTGTTAAGGAGTTCATGCTAAAATTTCTCAAATTATGTGGGTGAAGAGGGGACCAGGGTGCCATCATTTTGTCTCTAAGTAAAGATAAACATTTTCATTTCCCATGATTCCATGCCTTCAATTTTATTTTCTGTAATATAGAAAAATCACTTAGAGACTAAAAAAAAAAGGAATACAAGAACATTTCCATAAAGAAAAATTTACTCCAAAGAACTGAGAATTCTAATTCTTAAGGGGAATGACTATTAATCTTTAAGGTATTTCACATATCATTACTATTAGAGTAATAATCCTGAGATTATAACCAAAGAATATCATCATGAAATTAACAAATGAAACAAAAAACAGGCTAAGAAATTTCACCTTAAAAAATAGATTAATAGGCTGATATAAACTAGTGCCCCATAAATGATAGAAATAACTATCAAAGATACTGAAAAAAATAAGAATTCTGGTTTACGAAAACATTAGCTATTACATGTAAAAATATTTAGTTAAATGCTATTTTGTTAGTTTAAGGGTCCTAACTCTTCCTATTTTCATCACAAATTATGATATTTTGATCAAATGAGTAGTACAAATAGTGACTGTACATGCATATACAACATTGATTCAACCTTGAAGGTGGGGGAAAAACAGGATTCTCAAAAGCAAAGAAATAGCCCACTTAAGCAATAGATTTTACGAATTTCTAATTTTCAGCAGATTTTGCTAAGCAAAATGCATCCTTTTCTTAATTCATACAAAGATTCAAGACACATGAACAATGGAAAACATTTAAGACATTTACATAAAAATTTCAGTATTCCAGGTTTCATAATCCTGTCTCCCCTCTGCTGTATGAAAAAGGAAAGGATTCAAAGATTTCATCATTTACTTCCCAATTATAAGAAATGCTTTCAATTTCTTATGGAAATTATTCAGTGTATCTGACACACAAACTTCATTTATATTTCAAACACTATGTGAAATACAAGACATTTATCATCTATTCACAAAAATCAATTTAAATCACTTCAAGCCAGGTGCTGCCTGTAATCCTAGCTATTTGGGAGACAGAGCAGGAGGACTGTGGTTGGAAGCCAGCAGGGCAAATACTTCCCAAGACTCTATCTCAAAAACACCCAACACAAAAGAGGGACTGGAGGAATGATTCAAGAGGTAGAGAGAGTGTCTGCCTAGCAAGGATGAAAACCTGAGTTCAAACCACAGTACCACTACCCCTCCACCAAAAAAAATCATTTCAAGTGCACATGCACTAAGAATTTTTTGATAGACATATACACTAAAATCCCAAACTCATAATTTCCCAGCCTGTCTCCCTCTCAAATCTACCTACTGGTTTTGGATTTTTGTTTTTGGTTACTCAAAATTCCTTAATTAAGTAAATTCTATTCCATGTGGTAGGACCAGTGATGGGCTGAAATCCTGGTTAAGATTCCATCTCTTTTCTTACTTTTTGTTGTTGAAAGTACCTGTTTAATGTATCTGCCCCACAATTAACAAGGTTCCTAATTGGCAATCTTCAAATAAAGTTTTAAAAGAGAAAATCCTTTTTAATTAGATGCCAAAAAAACGACTTCTTTTCATAACTTCCTGCTCCAACCCTCTGCAGCTGTCCTATCTGTATGCCCATTTACCAATTCTTCAGGACACAGATAGATCCTGACCCTAACTCACATGACCTTACACCTTAAAATTTTAAAGTTAGTAACATATATTATAGGATTAATGTATTTAAAAAGTGTAGTAATAAAAAAATCTACATAATTTATTCTCATTATCTCATTTATCATATATTTCAAGGGTTGGGGGCATGGCTCAAGTGGTAGAGCACTAACCTAACAAGTACAAATTCAAACCCTAATACCACCCCCTCTCCCCATAAACCAATAATCATTTACCGTCCAACGATTTCATATAATTTTATAGCTGGAAGGATTTTGTAGTTCATTTACCTTATATCCTTCATTTTACAGATGTTGAAAATTTAGTCCTACAGTCATTTTGACTAGACTAAATTCATATTTACAAGACAAGCAAAGAGCCAGAGTCCTATTTTTTGACTTTCAAGTCTCTATTTTCCTACTAAATTATACTACTACTCCTATATCTTTTAAGTGATATTTAAGAATTTTTTGATTATTTAATATTTTCCATGGCATATTTTTTTAATCTAAAGGAATCTAATCATTATATACTAACTCAAACTGTAAATTTTCATTATTCTCTCATAATTAACTTAAAATTCAGCTTACCTAAAACAAAAATAAAGATTCCTCTTTAATTTTTTTGTTTTGTTTTGGTGGTACTGGGGTATGAACTCATGACTTCTACATGCTAGGCAGGTGCTGTACCACTTGAGCCACACCTTCAGCCCTGTAGTGGTTCTTATTTTTAACTGATGAGAAAAGTATTTGTATATCAAAATACATCAACTGGAGAACAGTAGACATTGACACTGTCAAATCTTAAAGAGAGGGTGATTATTACTTTTTGAGACAGGGTCTTGATTTCCTATAGCCAAGGCTGGTATCAAACTTGCAATCACCCTGCCTCCACATTCTAAGTGCTGGGATTACAGGCAAGTGTCAACATTGTCAGGTATATCTACTTTTAAAATTTTTCATTGTGAAGTTTTATAGCTATGTGAGTAACTACATAAAGACCACAAAAGCTAAGTGGAATTTTATGTTCTATTATACTAAAAATATGTAGGGAGGGTTAAAAAAAAACAAACCTGACACTCAAAAATTATCATTCTTATTTACCTGTTCCTTTAAATTTAAAGTGTGGCTTTAAATTAAAAAAAAAAAAAAAAAACCACCAAAAAAAAAAAAAGTGGCTTAAAAGGAGCAATAAGCTTATTATATACAGGTGATTAGCTCACAAGTATTCCTGAATTTTAAGTATCTTTCCAGTGATAACCCTTTCCAATTGCCTTACCTTTGTTGAAAGTACTTTAAATGTGCTCTGTTCTGGTATTATAGGATGAAGCAGTCTCAGTTTCAAATTGTAATCCTCTCCAGAAGAAAGTTTCACCAAAGCAGACAACTAACGAACACAAAATAGTATCACTTTTTGTAAACTGATAGAGTAAAATATTTAATCTACTGAAGACAGAACTTCAACAATGCTTCAGATTATTTCAATTATATGCAGCATCAGGCTTAAGAACCTCAAAACAATCTTTTTATGAGAACTCATACATATAACTAAACAGAAATAGTTAATATTATCACATATTTAACATTCAAAACATAAGAGCAAAGTGATACAGTATATAACAAAAAGAAACTATTCATGTACAAGATATATAATTCTATCACACCTTTCTTAAGTATCTATAAGATTCTCCATTAAATGCTAAGAAACCAAGTTATTAAAAGACATACTCATTTAATATGGCAAGTAAATTCTAAGACCTATAGATCATACAACAAGTAACTAGACCTTTGTTATGAAGTATACCTCAAAAGTACAACCAAATCATGCATCTCACTAATGTCAACCAAGTTCTGCTTTGCATTCCAAATCTAAAGAAAAAAAAAATGCACACCTAGCTATCTTATGTCAAAACAAAATAATTCAAACTAAAAAACATACTTCATATTTTATTCAGTATTTTCCATATTACCTCATGAATAAGTTGCATCTACCTGATAAATTGCTAGTTTGCTCTGTAATCTAAATTTGCAGATAATAGTACTTAATCTCCACATAAAATATGGTTCAAAGACTACCTCTTTTTCAGAAAATTCCACATTTATATCATTCTTCTGCACATTCTTGATCATAAGTGTAATGATTACTTGAGATTCTGTTTGATACCAGTCATACCTAGTTTTAAAGAAAAGAAAAAATAACACTTTGATTTTCTTTAAGTCCTGTGTCAAACTAAAAACTAGTCTGATAAATAACAAGAGCTCCACCTTGAGGAACAAAAATAGCAAAGCAGGTGCTGATTCAATTTTATGTAACTAATTTTCTATGATCTATACTAATGGAAAAAAAAACGGTAAGGTAGATAATTCCCAAACCTTCTCAATGGACTTAAAAATACAAGATTTTCTAATACTATTGTGAAGCTAATACTAAAGATGAAACTATTGGAAATGCCATCAACAGCCTTATACACTCATTTCTACCTGATACTAAGATGAAGTAAACACACGTGTATCCCTTCTTTACAGATGAGAACACTTAAAATTAGGGAAGTGAAGCAATCAGCCAGTGGCAGCTGTGATGCAGGCGAACCAGGTCAGCCTAAATCAGCACTCAAAGCTCAGTTCACTAAAGATGGCAGTAACCAGGGAACAGAAGCAAATTATTTACAAATTAAAATAGTGTTTACCCATCATGTCAGGCACAACATTATATACAATACCTTCCCCCCCAATTCATGTCATGAGGGAAGACCAGTGTGTCTAGCAATTCTCGGTCATGTATGCCTTTTCACACTAAAAGCTCTAAAACTTCAGGAATACTTTCACATTAGACAGACTACCATATCTTGAGGGCAGAGCTATTTATCCTGCCACTATTATATCGCCAGGAACAAGCAAAACTATACAGTATACCTATTAAATCAAATATTGAATTTTTTTATGGTCAACACCATAGTTATTATTTGATATTTATGTGCCCTACCTGGGCAAACAGAAGTTCCTTGTTAACTAGGTACTTGCAGTTTCAACCTGTGTTACCCCAGAAAGAACATGAATAAATAGTTCTTAACAATTTCTAAGCTAGTTCAGGTAATTATGTCATAAACCACCTTTATTAAAGAAATGAACTTAAAGAGCCTCACAGTTTGCCTCTGAAACTCAGTGAGGATGCAAAATCCAGATCAATACCTTATGTTTCTTTCTGTTACAGTCCTAAGAATACAAATTGTATTCCTGGCTAATGAATAATTAAAAGTAAGGTCAAAGACTTGCTGGTTGCTTCTTCATTGTTGTAATTATTATCCTCAGCAATACTAACTTTCAACTCAGGCAGAATGTTCCCATGGAAAATTTACTCCAAATATAACAGACAGGACAAGTTAAAATTCTCTTAAGACTATCAACTTATTTCTTATTTACCTAATAATATCAATTTAACTGGGAAAAGCGCTCTTTAATACAAGGAAAGGTGAAGTAATACAGAACCAGGTTAAGCAAGTTTAAAGATGAGAAATTATTTGAATTTACTACTGATTCAGTACATAATGTTAAGATTCAATTTTTTCATAGGGCTATAACACAATTTTAAAAAACAAAATTATGAAAAACTTAAAATCACATAGTAAGGACATGCTTATTATCAAGTTACAGGATTTTTCTTCTTTAGGCATATTTTATAATGCATTCCTTTATGAAGAAGAAACACTTACTTGATTTTTGACTGACTCTGTTGAGATGCAGACTGATTCTGGCACATTGAAAAATAAATATTTTTACAAGTTAGATTAGCAATTGTATACTAAAATACATGTATTATTAATTTACCCACAGTTCTTTTGATATGGAATAACTACATGAAAAATTTTTTCAAAGACAAAATATGGTGTTTATAATGTAGTACTAGTCTACACAAAAATATTAAAATTTTTGTAACTTTACTAGCTTCAAATGAAGAAATTTTCTGTTGGGCTTGGTGGCAAATGTTTATAATCTCAGTACTCTGGAAGTTAGGGTAGGAAGACTGCAAGATCAAGCCACCTGGAAATAGCAAGACCCGGTTCTCAAAAATCTTTCTAAAGATCTAAGTAGAGTAATTTACTTACGTCCATTCTTGAAATATAATAACTCCTTAAACCAACAATAACATTAAGACTTTAAAAACTGTTTTTAAGAAACAGTACAACCTACAGGCATTAACAATAATATCAGATGCTGCTGTAAAACTATAAAGGAACATTTCCATGGTGAATTCCTAATAACATCTTATTCCTCTATGTGCCCATAGAGAAAGAAAGTCACTCTTTTTTTCAACACAGGGTCTGCCTGGCCTCAAACTTCCATTCCTCCAGCCTCCACCTCCCAACTGCAGGTATTACAAATATGCACCACCATGACCAGCCAACAAAGTTTCCTAAACTACATGGCATTGACCTGTTTAGACTATGCAAAGCTAAAGAACTTGTCCTGGATCACAGATGGCCTCAACATTGTTCTTACATGAAAAAGTAAGAGATGGAGAGTGGAGCAAGGAAGTAAGTAAAACCGCTCTAGATTTCTGAGTCTCTCAAGTTTTAGTGAGAAATATTTGAATCTACATCATATCACGTGGAGACACTGCCTAGAACAGATTTTTCCAGTTCATCCTAGAACCCGGATAAAGCTAGACTAAACCACCTAAGTGGCAAAATGCACTAAGGCTATACAACTTGTGTTACTAGACTGGACAATGTTGCAGGAAGGACAGAACTAGAGTTTAGATTCAGGGCAGTGCACTTGGTAGGCAGGACCTCTATCATTGAGCCATGCCTCCAGCCCTTTTTTATTTTATCATGCCACTCTGTTGTTCGCTGGCCTAGTCCCAAGCCAAATATTATTTAAGTACTGAACGTAACTACTAGCAGATGAAGCAGGAAGCTAACTTTTGTTTTCTTTGGTGAGACTGAGGTTTGAATTCAGGGTTTCATGATCACAAAGCAGGCATTCCACCACTTGAGCCACACCTCCAGTCCTACCCAACTTTTAAAAGACATCCTCCAACCCATCCCCATCCACCATACCTAGGAACTATGGGCAAGCATGGATGTAAAGGGACAACTGGAGAGGGCTCACTTTTGAAGATGTCCAAACCCCAGGCACTATATACGCACATATTCTGCCTGCAGTAGATTAGCTCTGTTAGCTTCAGTTTACACAAGGAAAAATCTCAAGGAGTAAATGACTTTCTCAATTTCACCATGAAAATTTAGAAGACTGAGATATAAATCTTCCATGAGAGATGAAGAAAGCACCTCAACAAAGTTAAGTAATTGTCCATAATATAAGTCAGGATTATTCATACATCTCCTAACTCCTTGTTGACTCTTTCTTGACATAAAATATGTAGATGACTATTGCTAAAACAATACTACCAAAAATTTAACTGTTATATATAAGCTTAAGTGAATTAAGAAATAAAAACCACTTTTCCTAAACTTCCCCATAGTTTTGTAGTAAATGAAAAAAATCTAAAAGATAATGTACAAAACCACAAACGTTGACACTTAATCAGATAAAAGCACTTCCAATTTTACTTATCCCATGTGTTTTAAACCTACTAATAAAAGCCCTACAAATGATTACAAATATTTAAACTGAATTAACATGATGACTTCTCAGTAACCAAGAGAAAAAACTGTCATCCCAACCACACTAAAACAAACCAAATCAACTTAAAACTACACACTAAATTGATTTAAACAGCCCAATAATTTTCACAACTATAAACTTTTATAACGTATTTCACCAACAAAATGATTTTAGTTATTACTAAAAGAACTAGCATTTAAACTGAATTGTTTAATGTTTAACTGTGAGAGACCTTATCCCGTGGTCTTATCTCATATGTATTTGATATATGCAATTTAATATGATTAAGTAAAAACACAAAGGACAAAAACTTTGAACTTACCCTCACAGAGACCAATCCTATAAAACATAAAAAAGAAAGCATTTTTAAGATGACAGGTAAAGTTACAGACATAATTTCTATGGCACAAACATACTGAATAAGAAAGTCAGCTCTCTGTATTTGTTTTTTTTTTTTTGCAGTACTGCAATTTGAACTCAAGGTTTTACACTTACTAGACAAGTAGCTCTACCACTTGAGACATTCCTCCAGCTCTCTCTGTATCTTTCAAATGAAAGAAACTGGTTTATTTTTTGATTGCTAGAGCTATTTTAAGACTCCTTAGTCATTTCTTATTGGCAGCACCATGAAGCTCATGCAAAAGAAATCCATCCCTTTCAATATTAGAAGCCAGACAAAAATCAGTGTAAATTCATATTTAAGGGAATATGTACTACTTAAAATAAACAAATTGCTTTAAACAATTTATTAAAAACAAATCTGCTTAAATCAAAAAACTTAAAATGTTTAAACTGAAACACTGGACACCTATGTTAACACACTTACCGTTCTGAGCTTCCTGGCACTTTTTAATCCAGACAGTAAAATCTCCATCTGCACCTAGAACCAAAAAACTGTAGTATCACTCACCTGCCAAATGTAATATTCATTCAACAAAATATTTACTGACAATACTGTGTCCCATGCACCAATTAGGCACTAGGGATTCAGCAGTAAATAAGATAAATAAAATTACCATCCGTACAAACCTTCAGCAACCCTGATGTTATAGCTAACTATAACAATAGGTTTAAAATTGCGTTGTTCATCTGGAGGATTTCTTTTTAGTATGTTAAATTAGTTTTAACTATAATCAACCTCACCAGTTTCCCATATATTTACAATCTACATTTCCTCTCACCCACCTGCTCTTAAAGAAGGCTTCTCTCACACCACAAAATTAGATCATAGTCAGATTTCTAATATGCCATCAGGGAAGAGTGGAAGTCTGGTGGTTAGGCTGAAGTTGAGAAACCGCTCCTGTTCTCATCTTGCTCTTCTGTCTATTACTCTGTTTACTGTTCTCTCAGTACCATGCCTTTCCTCACAACAAAAAGCACTTCTGCACTTTGTGAAGTTTTGTTGCATCTCCAGGTTAAATAGTAGCCAAGAGACTATACATAGTGAACTATATATTTATAAATAGCAATGTGAAGGTGTACATAATCACACTGTTTATTCTAAAGATCCAGAATAACAATATCTAAACATTTTACTGGGTGCTGTTACTATTAATAAAAATATTAAGTGACCTAAATAAAAGCTTACTAATTCAGGCTAACCACAGGCAAGATGAGTCTGAAAAGTAAAAAGCAACAAAACTTTAAATTCCTAATTTATACAAGAAATCAAACTAAACATGCCTAAATAAAAATTTAAACACACAGGCTGTAAGTGTGGCTCAACTGGAAGAGCACCCACGTAAGTGCAAAGCCTTGAGTTCAAACCCCAGTACCATGGAAATAAAATATTTCAATCAGAAAGATCTTTAAGTGGAAACTACAGTAGATAATGTAAGGCCTTCAACTGAGGTCTGACAAAATATTTTTTAAAAAATTTAAACATATATTCTACTGGGAAACTAACACACCAAAATACAGTCTTGAGCAACCTATTACTCAAACAATCAGTAAATAAAACCAAGCCCATCAGTTTCAGGTTACTTACAGTCCTAGTGTAAGTATGGGATAGATGAATTTGACTAATTAGCACTGAACTCCATGCATTCTGAACATTCACAGATTTTTCTCAGTAACGGCCTCTTTGGAACTATATACACACTGATACTAAGGACCTGCTGTACTCCTCTCAAAAACATGACATTTTTGACAAGGCACAGTGGCTCACACCTGCAAATCCAGCTACTTGTGGAGTGAAGATAGGGAAGATGGGGATCCCAAGCCAGACATACACACACCCCATCTCAAACAACATGCCATGGTGTCATGCCTGAAATCCCAGCAACATGGGAGGCTGTAGGTCCAAGGATCATGGTCCCATCAAAAACAAGACACTTTTGAAGGGCTAAAGGAGTAATTCAAGTGATAGAGTGCTTGCCTAAAAAGCACAAGGCTCTGAGTTCAAATCCCAGGACCACCAAAATAAAACCACATTTTTGAGAAGAATTCAGAATACTCTCATAGCTCCATGTTTCTTCTATATCCTCTCATAATTTCATCAAACTTAGAACTCACTTCTCCATAAAGATTCTGTAAGATTTCATAACTTAGCAACATGAATAACTTAAAAGACTTTTGAACAAAATAGCAAATTAAAATTTTACTTCTTTATTAGAAAAAAGACAAAGCCAGATTCAGTAGGGAGAAAACAGTGAGTGTTTACATACAGTTTCTGACTTTAACAGCAAAGTTTATCTGAGATTTAAATGCTAACAAAGGCCAATTAAATCAATTTTTTTTAAAGTGAACTCAAATTCTACAATCAACAGAAAAAAATATCACTAAGAGAAGAGAAAAATGTCTTGGGTTTCTGTAATTTAACTTGAGATTACACTAGCAGAATTCGGCTAATGTAGTTTTAAGATTGGCATGGATGGGAGACTCTGTCTCAAAAAAGCAAAATATTTAGTTTATTAAGGTGTAATTCTAATACTTACTTAATTTCTGTCCTTGTGTAAAAGTTTCTAGAGCAGCAGTGTAGTTTTTTTCATGGTATTCGCAAATCCTACATGGGCATTTTAGAACAAATTAACATACAACACACAAGATAACAGAAAACAAAAACAGCTTTCTTTATAAACAAAAAAATCTTAGTATTAATATTACTGAAAGATTTTATGCACATAGTAAAAGAAGCCAAGACTTTCTAAAATAATGTAACATCTAGTATAATTCTCATTAAAATTCAATTTTGGAATTCACTTCAGAAGGTATTTCATTTCAATTGTGCAAATTTGCTCATTTCAAAACATAATTATACAAAGGTATTAGTTTTCATTTAAATAAAGTAACACTTATCAACAGAGAACCTCAGTTTCAGTCATATTCTGCAGTTACTTCAATCATCATTATTTTAAAACATAGCAAACTAGAGATGTTCTATCACATACTTCAGTTAATATAACTAATAGAATTAGGAGCCAGGCACAGTGGCTCACACCTATAATCCCAGCTACTTAGTAGGCAGAGATAGGAGGATTGTGATTCAAGGCCAGCCAAAACAAAAATTTAACAATTCCAAATGTCAAAACAAACAAACAAAAAAAACAGGCATGGTAGCCCTTGGGAGGCAAAGGTAGGAGAATCATGATCTGAGGCTGGCCCAGGCAAAAGTGTGAAGCAAACGGACACAGCTCAAGTGGTAGAGAACTTGCTAAGTGAGTATGAGGCTCAATCCCCAATACTGCCAAAACAACAACAAAAACATATTAACTGAAGAATTAAGTTACATTTAAAACTGAATCAGCCCAGGCATTGGTGGCGCATGCCACCTCCTAGCTACTTGGGATGCTGAGATGGAAAAGATCAGCTTCAAGGTCAGCCCGGACAAAAAGTTCACAAGACCACATCTCAACAGAAAAAGCTGGGCACAGTGGGGTGCACCTATCATTCCAGCTACCCCGGAGTCTGAGATCCAGAGGATTGTGGTTCTAGGCCAGCCCAGGCAAAAAAGTTCACAAGACCACATCTCAACAGGAAAAACTGGGCAGGGTGGCATGTGCTTGTCATCCCAGCTGTTGTAGCAAGCCTAAAATAGGAGGATGATTATCCAGGACTGCCAATGCAAAAAGCAAGACCTATCTCCAAAGTAACCAGAGCAAAAAAGGGCTGGAAGCATGGCTCAAGTAGTGAGTGTCCACCTAGCAAGCACAAAACCGAAAGTTCAAATCCCAGTACCTCCAAAAAAAAGAGAAAATAAAATTTTGAGTATCTCAACTACAAAATGTACAAATACAGCATTTTACTACATATAAAAAAGCTTATGGGCTGGCTGGGTGGCTCAAGCAGTAAGAGTGCCTGCCTCCCAAGTGTGAGTTCAAACCTCAGTGCCACCAAAGGAAAAAAAAAAAAAGCTTACAATGAATCTAGTCAACAAATGAAACATCTACTCACTCTAGTCCAAGCCAAACACAAAAAGTAGTTAATTACATACCCTTTTCTCAGTATAGCAGTAGAATTATTTGGATTGAGTTCAAGAGACTTCTTTGCATCAGCAACAGCATCTGTATAAAAAAAATGATTAGTTTTTTAATCAGTTATACTACACAAAAAAATTGAATCGGTCTTAAATTTTTAAGTTCTTAAATTGGTAGAAAGGTCAAATGGTTTTAAATTAGAAGAAGCTAATCCATAAAATTCAAATAAGTGTCACTCTCATAGCTTCCTAGTGGTTAAAAATTAACTCCCTTAATGCTCTTCGATCAGTAAAGCTCTGTGTGGCAAATCTATTAACAACATTTACATAATTTGACTTAAAATATTGAATTCTCTCATATCCACATTCTCAGAGTAATTTTTGAAAGATACACAATATAGAAACACATTCTTTTTAAATTATAAAATGCAAGCAAGAGCATTTAACACACTGCAAAATTAGAAATGTGACACCATTCTTTATTAGTGTATCCAACCACTATGAATGAAATCTATAAATTCTCTACCTTCTGAAAAGACACATCCATAATGGTTAAATGGGGGTTGCTCAACATAAAGTTTGTCATACTACAGCTACTCTACCCTGTATTAAAGACTTAAAAATCCTCAAAGATAACCTCCATTTTCATTTGTCTTGGGCAAAATGTGTAAGTAAATTATAGAGACAATACATTTTGTAAGAAAAGTTACCACAGTATTTCCCAAGAAGAATGTGACAGTAAGCTCTTTGACAATAATACTGTGCATCATCTGGATTCTGTTCCAAAGCCTTAGTCAGCTCCTACAAATACAAACATATGAACATCAGTAAATGTTTCTTAAGGCCACCAAATTCTAATTAAAACAAGTTATTATCACAAGCTAATGGGAGAAGAGATAATAGGGAAACAAGTTTGGAGCTTTTCTGTGTAGAAGATGACTATTTCCCCTTCTTCCCTCTACCCAGGCCAAAGCACACAAGGTAATGTAGTACTATATAAAGTACTTAGCAATTCCTGGTCTATAGTAAGAACTCAGTAACTTTTCATTTATTCTGAAAAGTTTGGCTGATATACATCAACCTGATAGAATTTCTCATTTGGAGAAGATTTGGAGATCATACAGAATTTGAGATGCCTTGAAAATGTAAAGCTGTCCAACTTAAAAATAAGAAAAAACTGTAAGTTAAATCTAGAGCTCAGGGAGATTAATGAAATCAGTAAATACATAATCGGATTTACCTGGCCTTCTTCTATTCTGTCAATGGTACAAAACCCTAATAGAGTATAACATTCTGCTCAAAGTCCAAATAGAATCTCATAGATAGCTATTGTCAATTAATTAATTTAGCACTGAAGAGATTAAAAGTTTTACTGCCCAGGGCAATCACAAGATATAGATAGTAATTGGAACAATAATGATACAAGGTCACACAGTAAATAATGCCATTGTCAAAAGGAACACTTTGATTATCTGCCCCACACACACACACACACACACACACACACACACACACATTAAAGATTTGGCAGTTTTCAATAGGCTCACACATCACTGACCTAATAATACCATTCTCAATAACAACGTATACTAGGGAATCAAAATATACCTAAAACCAAACCACATTCAGCACTTTAACCTACTAGTCCAAGCAGTAATGTTAATATCCTGTTACTGTATCTTTGCACAAACTCGCTAATGTCTTTCTAGCTGACTCAGAGCCAGGTCCAAGTCTTTCCAAAAGACTTTCCTTAATATGACTCCCTGGATCTCTATGATATCTACTCTTCCCCTGGCTCTTCCTCTGTATCTTTAACAGTTTCCCTACAGTTCCTCACATGCCTCAGGACTCTAATTCTGCTACTCCCTCCAAATGGAATGCTTTTTCCCCAGACAGATGTGCACAGAGAATTCATTCCCTTGCTTGTTAGTGATAAAACTGTGCCAGACAGGATTCAAATGAGTCTGTCTAGCTCCAAAGTAGGTTTTTTTATCCTTTGTAAACTGTTTTTAATTTTAAAAGACTGTCCTCAATGAACAAGTGACTATATGCAAGGATGGGTGACAGAGGATTCAACACAACTCACTGCACTTAGAACCATTACTATCTGAAGGACCATTTGTTTGCCAACATGTACCCTGAGGGCTGGGAGCATGACTCAAGTGGTAGAGTGTTTGCCTAACAAGCATGGAGGCTCTAAGTTCAAATCCCAGTACCATCAAAATAACAACAATGTACCCTTAACAACAGGGTAAAAAACTCTTTATAAAAGTCTCTGCTTCAGACAACATTTACATCTTTTTCCAAGGTCAGAGGCCAGTCATGACCCCAATTTTGTTTCTTTTTGGCCAGACCCAATCCTCTGGCATCTCCTAACTCTCTTCCCCAACAATATGCTTGGCCAAGATTCCAGAGGCATATAGAAGGAAGCAGCTATGGGTTCATTCAGTTCTGTCTGCCCATATCCAGAAGCCCTAGGAAAGTTCTGAGTTTTGACTCCTATCCCTTGCAGTAGCTGGAATCAATGCTGGTGCATACTCCCACTCCCACAGTGAGGACAGTGTAGCATATTTGAAATGAGATATCCTGGAGGCCTGGTAGGCAGCTGACTGCCCAGCACTAGGCAGACTGATAGCTGGTAAGTCTGATGGCTATGACAACCTAGAATTCTGTGGAAAGGAAGTGGAACTCAAGAGTTCCTGTGCTGTACTGAGAAACTGAGTCTGAGGATGGCAAGTCTGAGGGGTCCTGAAAGGTAGGATTAATAGCATTAGAAGAACATCCTCCTTAGAAGATTGCTACCAGTGCTGTTTCCAGAACATGGCTGGCTGCTGTAATCCGTAGTGTCTCTGTAAAAGGTGCCAACAGATCTCTGGACACAGGGTGGGCAAGGCTGGGATAGCCACTGAAGACCTTAGTGATCATTCTGAGGAACTGTTTGTGGAGGGGCAGTGGGAGGGAGGTAGAACAGGGGTGTTTCCCTGGTCTCAGTGCTGTATTTCAATTACTGTATCCTAGAGACTGGACGAAGTTCTGTAAAGGGGACTCCCCTCTAAAGGGGGAGGAACTCTGTTGAGGGAGTCTTTGTGATTCTGTCCATGGACTATCTCACTTCAGGAGCTGGTAGCTGTATATACAACTATCAACGGTAGCTCCTTTAAAGTGCTGAGCTTAATGTCTCTGGGCCTTCATATGAGTCTCTCTCTGTGATGTAACCCTCCCACACAGGAAAAGGTTCTCCCTTCCAGGCCATTCTAACACAGACCTTAGGGACATTTCCTTGTACTCATTCTACAGATGTGGGAACCACCCACCTACTGGTGATATTCTCTCAAGGTCTGCACAGAGATGAAGCAGTGCCTCTGAAATGTAATCAGCTTACCGCCTCCAAATATGACAGAGGAATGAGATGGGGAGAATTTTTTGTGAAAGGATGATGAGGTTGAGGCTGAGGATCACTCCTCACCATGGGCACTAGTGCCACAGAGCTACTCATGCCCTGCCCATCTCCTGCAGACCTACTTTTGCTCTGTGCAGTCACCTCCCCCACAATTCTCCTTGGCACCTGTTACCCTTTGTGGGACTCTAGCCAGAGATATCTTTTTCATTTTAATTATAAACAACACAGCCTCTTTTACTCTCTGACATTTGTATTGATGTTTTCTAGTATTTTGAAATTCCCAAGTTAAATAATACCATCCAAACATTAAAACAATTTAGAAAATAGTAGGCAGCTCCCTACTTACCTATTCAAATATATCTTCAAACCAAATTTCTAGACTCCTCAGTAAGAAACAGGTATTTTGTCTATTATAGATTCTACTGATATCTGGATCATCAAATTCAAAAGCATTTCACTTGTTCATTCATTTATTTAATTTCTTGAGATAGGACCTTACTATAAAGCCCACAATGGCCTCAAACTCACTATTCTCCTGCCTCAGTCTCCCAAGTAAAAATTATAGGCATTCATTACCATTCTTGGCCTTCAAAAAGCATTTCAAAAACACTATGTAACAAACATAAGTCAGAAACCATGGAGGTGGGGAGAGATTTTTTAAAAAACATATTCCTTTTTTTAAAATTTTTTTTTGAGACAGAGTCTCACCATGTAGTCCAGGCTGGCCTCAAAATCACAATCCTCCTGTCTCAGCTTCTCAAGTATGCCCAGTTTATATATTCCTTTTCTTAAAGAACCAAGGAAAAGCCTTCTGTATTTCAAACTATGTTTGTAAATGACCTTTAAAAGCACCATCCAACTGCTGCTTAAGAACCAATGATGGTGATGCATTCACTTAAATAAAATAAACAACTGACTTGATTAGGCTGTTACTGAAAACAAGTTACCAAAAGCAATGAGCACAAACTTAAACCCATAGCACGCAAAATCACAAATAAAGTATAATCAATTTATTTTTAGTAAACAACATAAAATATAATAAAGCTTTAAAAAGTTAAGATAATGATTTGTGGTATTAAGTACATCTGCTTCTGACTTATGGCATGTTTTTAGCATTATCCTGTTTTTTGAAAACTTGCTGTACAATGGTACTAAATGGAGATATCTCAAAATGTAAGGTCTTCAATGCCAGTATTTGAATCACAGCAGCAAAAGGCTATTATTTCGTGCAGATCTACACCAAATATATAGTAAACATGTCCAAAGATATACTTGCAGAAAATGAGTTATAGATGAGGAATGTGGCTGAAGGCTAGAACCCTTAACTAGTAAGCATTAAGGCCCTGGCTTCTATCCTCAGTACCACAAAGAAAAAAAGAGAAAATGAGCAAGCAACTTACATTTCTCAAAAATAAAGGCCCAAGGTGAACTATGTATCCTGGTAATCCAGTACAATAAGGTGTGGGGGGAGGGGCGGAAAGGTGGTTTTTTTTTTTTTTTTTTATTAAGGCAGAGCATATGATTATCATGATGAGGCCCTGGGTTCAATCCCCAGCAACCTACTCCAAAACAACAAAAAGCTAAAACTGGATCATAGCAAATTTTCAAACATTTAAATTTTTAGGCTCTTTTAAAATGCCACTCAACAAAGTTAACCTGTTTAGGTTAAAAGCAAAAGCAGACTGCTCACTCTGAAAGCCTTTAGTTCTCGGTATCTCTCAGTTTGATTCCACTTCCCATTTTCTTCCACAGTCACCCAGCTAATTCCCAATCATATAAAGAAGAGTATCAATTCTTCTGTTTTAAACTACTTAGCACTGCTGGAGGGGAAAATAAAATCACATAACCATGTAGAACTGGTCCCATTACACATTTACCAATCTCAGCAGCGCTCTTAACAAAGTTCCTACAAAATCAGCTACCAAACTGTTAAGTGATATCATATATCTTCAATCCTCTCCTCTCTCCAGATGACCTTGATCCCTTGAAGTGAGAGACTTGCCACTTCCAAGCTGTATCACTTTGAGCAAGTTACCCTCTTTACTCGTCTCAGCTTCTTCAGTAGTAAAATGCAAATCGTGCCCACCTCAGTTGTTGCAAGAATTATGACAGAAACAGGAGTGCCTATCACATACCAAGAACTATAATGAGAACATAGCAGTAAACAAGATACACAAAACCACTGCTATCTTGAAGCTACATTCAGGCCTAATTTAATTTAGATTTACACAGAAAAGCTAATTTCTCTAAAGGGGTGTCATTTCATCTGAAATCTAAACGAGTAAGCATCTCCAAATAAAATAAGACAGATCAGAACTACATTTGAGGATAAAGAAACACTGAAGTTGACACATTCAAGCAACAGAAAAAAAGTCAGCATGGCTCTAAACTGAAGAGCAAGGAAGCTACAAGATGCCTCCTACCTCACTTAGTACTTTGCAGAATATTATAAGGAATGTGAACCTTTAGTATAACAGAAGGCTAGGAAGGTTCACTTTTACATTTCCAATTTACATTTTTTAATGTCCTTTTGCACACATGATGAATACATTAAAACAGGACTGAAAACAGAGACTTCTTAGTGTATTAATTCATGAAGTCCAGGTTAGGAGTGGGTGGTAGCCATAGAATTCATGAAGCAAAGTACAAGTTGGAATACATGAGAACAAGCAGGACGTTCCAATGGGTTGAATATGTGGATAAGAGAAATAAAAGATTTCAGGGTTTTTGTAGTAGCCTGGCTATACCTGGCACCTAGTAAGCGATCAATGAAAGATGATTTTGCTCCTTGCTGATTTTTTTCTATCTTTCCTATATGCTCTATTTTGCCCTCATTTCCTTTGACACAGAATATAAAAACATTTGCCTCCAATCTTACTCTTCTCAAAGTCACTAATAACCCCTTATTAAACCTAATACATGTGTATTCTGACTCGATCATTTTGTGGCCCCTGACAATACTGACCAAGCCCATTATTCTACTAGCCTCTTAAAAGGCAATGTTTCTGGGCTGGGAGTGTGGATCAAGAGGCAAAAACATTACTTTGGGGCCGGAGGATGTAGCTTAGAGGTACAGCACTTGTCTAGGGTATGCAAGGCCCTACAAAAGCGTTTACATATATCAAGCCTTAATGAAAACTTACAAAGTAAAATAACCAAGATGGAAAGTGACAATGAAAAGTATTATGTTAACACCCTTTAAAAGCAACTTTGAAATAAACTGGATTTAAAAAGGAAGTCCCCGACAAATTGAAATTCATAAAATTAATAACTGTGTAGCTGACATACGGAATTACAGATAAAAATTCTCAGTTCTTCTTGTAACAGTAACACAATAGCAATCCCAGAAGAGCATTAATTATCTTTTTGAAGGCCTTTCCATCAAGATCCAAAAACCATACCGGCCTAGTCTCTGGTTTCCTTTCCAACCTTATCTCCTATTCTTCTTTCATTCCACTCTAATCAAAAAGTTTTTTGCAGCTCCTGGTACGTTCCTACTTCGGCCCTTCTTCCTGCCAGGAAAGCCTCCTGGCTAGCGCCCATTTAGGTCACTTACATTATCCCCTCTTCAGAGAGGCTTTAGAACCCTGTGGCAAATTTCTTTTAAAAGTTATAGCTAGGTAAATGGCTCTTCTTCCTCAAGTTTTTAACCTTACTTAGGCTAGATCATGATGTTAACAGTGTTACTTAGCTTAAATCATAAAAAATTAAACCCACTTGGCTAGGAAGCAGAAGCTTCCTAAATTTTACGATCCACAGCAGCATGTACCTGTAGTTTAGGCTTTGTCTTAATTCTTGCAATGATAGTCTTGCTCTTTTACATTTCGTTCCAGCTTTATAGTTTTGTGTTTTAGTGCACAAAAACGGTGCTTTTAAAGTATACAAATTAATCCATAGCAATCGGCGCCTTGCACACGGCAACTCTGAAATTTATGTATAAATAACTGAGAGAATAACGCACAGTGACAGGTCATCTGGAAAGTTTCATAGAGGGAAAGCTTTTTGTTTTAGTAAACTGAGTTCAAACAGACACTTAGCACAGTGCCTAATATACGTGAATGGTGAGGATAACTGTCAAATGGAAAGGTGAATTAATATACCAAGCCCAGATTTCACCTTCTTCTTTGTCACAAATGCAACTTAGAAAAACCCTTCCTGGCCAACCACGGATGGCAGCTACGTCCCTAAGAAAAACAACAGAGGCGAGGTGGGTTTTCCCGCGAGTCGCGCGGCGCGCGGGTCTACAGCGACCCGGATCTCAACCTTAAGGCTGAGACGTAATAAAAACTGCAGCTTCGGTTCCATCAGGATGATGCTGGGAAGAGGCGGAGACAGCCCGAACCCTACGCAGTCCCGCAGCCCCTAGAGAGTGAAGGAGGCAGAAATGGGCGCTCTCACCTCTAACGCCGCCCGGGGGTCCTCGTCGATCAGAGCATCTGAGCAGCTCTGGAAAAACCTGCCAGGAAAACAACGACTTCAGCAGAGCTCACTAACCAACGACAGAGAAATAAGAAGAATAGCAAAAGCAAGGGAGAACACGCACCGCTGGGTGGTTGCAGGTCCCGCTGCAGCCGCCGCCATCCCTAACAGCCACTGTTTGTGCTGCCTAAGCAGGCACTACCGCGGCTACCAGCTCCGCCGCCGCCCAAGGGGGAAACTTCTGGAGAAACACCAACCGAGCTTCCGTCCTTAAGCAGCCAACGAGCATCCACGCAGTATACGTCAAGGGGGAGGGGAGACGATTATCCGCCGCGGGGCCTACTGGGAAGGTGGAGGACTAGTTCGCCCCGCCCCGTCTCAGGTCCCGTGACCAGTTCTCATAGTCCCCGCCCCTCGAAGCCATCGTTACGGGAGCCTAGAGTGTCCACGTGCGCCTTCTCTTCCCCCGCGCGCCCCCTACCAGCACTCAGACCAAGCCCTCTGGGGTCGCACGCAAAAGCGCTTTATAACGTATTGTGATCCCTCAGGAACGTTTGGTGATTGGGGAGGCATACGTATGTCTGTTAAGGCACGCTACACTGAGTTCCATTTTCATTCGTTCTCATCATGGCTACCGCAGCCGTGACACCCTTCGCCACTGCGTGGCCTTTTCGCGGAGCAGCGTCCCGGATGACGCGTGAATTCCCGCGATGGTTGCGCAGAGAACCCTTCCGGGCTGGGACTTGCCGGAAGATGTCTTGCCTCTAGAGGCTGGAAAGGGAAGGCTTTGTGGTTCGCGGGGTAGTTGTGACCGGCGCGTTCCCAGCACTCCACAGCCCAAGCTTTCTTCCTCCTCGGCCTGGCAGACTGAGAAAAGCCTATTGAGGGGGAGGAAGGTGACCTAAAATTGTGTCAGTCGGTCATTCTCTCGAAGTAAACAAGTAACTGACCTCAGTGTCTTCTACATCCAAACTAAAATCTGGGTTTCAGACATGTTAACGCCCTCAAGAAGCTTACACCGACTAAGTAGTGACATGAAAGAAGGGGCGCGATTAGGTGATAAGGAGGGGCATTTCGCTGAAGGGATGGATTCCTCAAAGATGTCATACCTGAGTTCAGGCTAGAAAGATGTATGGGAGTCGACAAAAGAAAGGAAACGGTAATTCAGGCCGAAAAGAAAAGATGTTTGAATACATGATGAGCTTTAAAACTTGTGCTTATATTCAAATTAGGGAAACTGACTAAAGGGCCAGAGTGAGTTCCAGGTCAGAAAGAGCTAGGTGTGGTTTACCAAGAAGCTTAGGTGTTACTTTCAGTGGTACTAACTCAAAGGATTTTTTCTTTTTTGTTTTTTTGCGATACTGGGGCTTGAACTCAGAGCCTTACATTTGGAAGGCAGGCGCTCTACCAGCCCACTCATAGGATTTTTAATCAAGAAAGGAACAGTCAAGTTTTCACTTCTTATATGTATTATCCTGTCTGTATCATGGAAGGATGATTAAAGGGGGGAGAACAATTGTTGGGAGATAACTTGTAATACAGGTCAAAGAAATGATGTGAATCCACAGATTGTAGGGATGGAGATACGAGTTACAGAGGTATTTGAGAAGAACCTGACTGGGGTAAACTGAAAACAGAGCGAGTTTCTGGTTTGGGCAGTTGATGAAAAACTTGAAGGAAGCAGATTTGTACAGAAAGGTGGAGAGGTTTTGTTTAGATATATTGAGTTTTAGGTAGATATACTGAGTTTTAGGTACTTACAAAAGTTTCCAGCAGCACTGGAGTTTGAACTCCGGGCCTCACACTTGCTAGACAGGCATACTCTTAGGCTTGCGCCCTTTTTTGTGATGGGTTTTTTCAAGATAAGTTCTCTGGAAGAACTGTTTGCCTGGGATTGGCTTCAAACTACACCCTCTTTATCTCTGCCTCCCGAGTAGCTAGGAGTAGCTAGGATTGCAGGCGTGAGCCACCAGCGCCCGGCTTGAAATGTTATCTTGAATTAACTTTTGTGAAAGGTATTATGCTAGAAAGGTTCATTTTATCCCCCACAGGGCTATCCAGCTGACCCAACTCTACTTACTGAAAACATTTTCATGTCTCCTATTAAATTGATTTTGGACTTCCTAGTTTCCAAAACTGTGAGCAAATAAATTTCTGACTGTAAATTATGCAGTCTGACTGGGTATGGTGGCACACAGCTATAAACCCAGCCAGCTATTTAGGAGGCAGAAATTGGGACGATATAACCATTCAAGTTCAACCTAGGCAAAAAGGTTAGCTAGACCCCATCTCAACCAACAAGCCAGGAATGGTGGCGCCCATCTGTGATCCCAGGTAGGAGGAAGGTTAAGTAGGTGAATCACAGTCCCCAGCAAAAACACTAGACCCTATCTGGAAAAATGAAGCAAAAAGGGCTGCAGGTATGGCTTAAGTGGTACAGCACCTACCCAGCAAGTGAGAGGCCCTGAGTTTAAACCCAGTATCTCCCCTCCAACCCCCACCCCCTTCTTCAAGAAATATTTACCTGAAAACAGAAATTTTGATAATTTTTACATGATTTATTTAATAACAATTAAAGATACAAAAACGTTTAGAGGATTCCAAAATTTAAATTTTGTTTAAATACAAATTTACTTTGTGATATGAAAACATACATTAGACCTCTAAACAATGATTTTTCATCTACAAAAATTTAGCTATACTAGAAAATTTGCAGAAAACAATTTTTCTTGTGATATTAAATATACATTATTTACATTTGAAAAAGTAATCTAAAAACTCGGAAATTTGTATATATATGTGTTATCTTTGTATGCAATTTCCCTCCCCCCATCACCCCCAATAAAAAATAATCCAAAATATAAAGCAATGATGCTTTTATAACAACTGACTACTCAGCCAGATTAGCCCAAAACTCAAGTTGCTTTCTTGGCCCTTAAAAGCCTTGACTCTTTCAAAATAGCAATATAGCATTTAGCACTCAACAATGTTAAGTTTACTAATGGACTACAGTACACAGTGGTCTCAACAATTAATGAACAAAGAATATAGGAAAAATTTATGGCAAAGCTTACTGATTACAGAAGAAATAAATTTTGAAGGGATCTTATTTTCCTGCAGTATTTTACCTATATTTACATTAGGCAATAATATGGTAATGTTTTGACATAATTGGTGTTAGAATTGTGAAGCTTAGAACCAGAAGGAAAACTAGAGGTCATTTAGTTTAGTCCAATGTATTCTTTCTTTTTATGAAAGAACTAAGGCCCCAAAAATTAAGTGTCTTGCCCAAAAGAGAACCAGTCTTAAACTGATGCTTTTAAAATATCCTATTTCCGAAACAGGTTCGGAAGTATCATGGGCACATTTCAATTTTTAATATTTTACATATTCATAGTTTGTTACACATTGCAGTCAATCTAAGTGACGTAATTTTAACAAAGTATAAAATAAGTTTCTTGCATTTGAACAAGTCAAGACTTACACAAGTAGAATGAAAATACTTCCTATATAAATTTCCTGTTGCCTTATATTTAAGTATTGTATTTACAAAAGAATCAGAAAAGCTAATACAATGTAAAATTAGAAAAGAAACTTTAAAAATCCTTATGATATAGCAACTGAAAAAAATCTCAAGAATGTCTTCATAGTATAAAATGCCTGTTCCTTCACAATTAAATTCCGAAACATTTGGAGAATAAAGAGAAACACTTGGGTTTTCCTCCCTCTTCTAGCAATGTCAAAATTAAATCTAAATTTTTAACAATTATAAAATAAGGAAGTCTGTGGATTTATCTTAGAAGCAGAGTTGCAGACAACTGAAAAATGAGTTCAGTTTTTTAAAATCATCCATAATTCCTTTGGTATATATTAAAAAGAGTTGGGTTCCAGCAATTCATTTTGTTTCATAGGTACCTGAGAGGTAAATCCATTTGAACTGGATACTACCATCACGTAAGGCTGTGGCTGTTGCTCAGTTTTCTCAGTGTCTTCTTTCAAATTATCTTCAACCTCTTTTTTCTCTACTTCTTGTGTAAGAGTTTTTGTTTCTTGAGCTTTGATGACTGAAGTGATTACAGTGCCAGGTGGGTGAGTAACTAGTTGTGAGCTTCGAGAAAAGGTCACCACAGGCGTAGTAGCACTGAAGGATGGTGAGGAAGCCATACTGACCGTTCCATTGCAAATGGACTGCACATTGCTTGTAAGAACCTGCTGCACTTGGGCAGGGCTAAAGACAATTGAAGGAGGAGAACCTGGCTTCTGTGACTGTAGCATGACATTTTCTTTCAGTACTGTCATAGGCTGTGATGATGGAATGGCTTGTAAAATAAATTTCTGAGATCCCGCACCTGATGATGGATCTGTGCTGGCTATAACCGTTGTGAGTGGCACTGTCTGGAGTGTTACTGTATGCAATTGCTGATTACCAGGAGACACGACCACTGGAACTTGGGGTGAAGCCTGTATAGTCCTATTGAGATTCCAAATAAAAGTGAAACTATTAGCACATCCTACATCATTTAAAACTGTAATACTTGACAAGTCAGTATGATAAAATTTAAGTCATCCATTTCAAATGCTACTTCCCGTATTTTCAAAGTGGCCTAACAAACATCTTACCAGACCTTCTATTAAACATTACACATACGTAGATGCCTAACACAAAATTCTCAGGCCATTAACTATGATATCATTTGAGAGTGCTATTAAAAAAAAAAAAGGTCTCTATAAAATGTCACAGCAACAGAAGTGGGGAACAAATTTTGGTGGGGAAGGAGGAAAGTATCAAAATGCTTAGCAAGGAAGTTACATATGAGCTGCTTGACAGAAAATTATGAATTTAAAAGCCTATGTTTGATAAACTCAATTTTAGTATTTGTGGGATAGTATCATCAACATGCTGATCTATAATAATTATCATCACTGTTTTAAACATTTTTTAACACATAAAGGAGAAAAAAAGCTCAATTAACTAAAACAAAATAAATCTTTAAATGTACATAATTACTAAGATTTTAAGCTCAGAGTTCATATATAAATAAAACAAGTAATGTCTGTAACTCACAAAGGTTCTTAGGCTGGCAGAGAATAAAAGAAAAATAAAGACAAGCTTTGACAAAAATAAAATATATGTTTTAGCAGTTTTCTAGGCCTAAATAATCTTTACAAGTTTCAGTTACAAAGTTACAAATATTTTTTTAAGATAGGGTTCCACTATGTTGCCCAGGCTGGCATTAAACTCACAATCCTCTGACTCCAACCCCACTAGTAGCTAGGATTGCAGGCATGTGCCATCTCACCTGGCATACATCTACAATTTAACATAAAATCCTTCAGCATAAAATCCAGTTTATGTAAAGTTGTTAATCTCATTATTGAATGAAAAGATACATAAATGGTATTACTATTGTATTCTTAACCTACAGGCATGTACAACTCTTTATACACCTCTAACCCCTTTCGTTTTCCTTATTGAATGTGTGGCACAATAATAATGTACCTGGAAATTTTCAGTATTGCTAATATAATAGGTCTGCCACTAGGCCTTAAATACTTTTCCAGGTTTTCTTAAATGGCCTTTCCTTGAGAAAACAGTCAAATAGAAACAAAGGTATAAATTAATATTCAGACTTTTGTAATTGATGCAAAAATGCTATCGATTTTTGAATCTAGATAGTATAAAAAACACTTATTTACTATATTTCAACTTTTCCACATTTTGAAATTTTTTTTATTTGAAATTTTTCATAATGAAGAGTTGAGTAATTATTAAAAAAAAAAGAAATCACTAAACTAGAAGTTATTCTAATAAACTAATATGTTAAAACTTCAGAGTGATACAATTTAACATTTTCTTTCTATATAATGGAAAGGAACAAAAGCAAAACCTGAGAAATGATATTCAGAAGCTGTTAAATCTTCAGACACACTTCCTCTTCATTAGCATTTGCCTTTCCATAGATAGTAATTTTGAGAAATAAAATGAACTTTTTTTTGGGGGGGAGGGTTAGTGCTGGGGATAAAACCCAGGACCTCATACAAGCGAAGCAAGCGCTCTAACACTGAGGCACACTCCCAGCTCCACTTAAGATTTAACTGCTTGAGCTGGGCACAGGTGGCTCACATCTGCAATCCTAGCTACTTGGGAGGCTGAAATCAGGAGGATGGCAGTTCAAGACCAGACTATGCAAATAGTTTAAGATCCCCATCTCCAAAATAACAACAGTAAAAAGTACTGGAGGTATGGCTCAAAACAAAAAGCTCTCTCATTTCATTATGTCTTCTTTTTTCCTTCTCAAAATTCTACTTATTTTCAAGCAGTTACATCTATTTTTTTTTTTTGGTGGGGGAGTGGGATTGGGGTTTGAACTCAGCTTCACACTTAGATAGCAGGTACTTGAACTACACCTCCACCCTGAAAATGTGTGGAGCCAGGTGCCAGTTGCTCACACCTGTAATCCTAGCTACTCAGGAGGGCAGAAACCAGGAGGATCGCAGTTTGAAGCCAGCCCTTAGCAAATAGTGAAAACCCCCAATGCTCAAAAAAAGGGCTGGCAGAATGGCTCAAGTGGTAGAGCACCTACCTAGCAAGCGTGAGGCCCTGAATTCAATCCCCAGTACCACAAAAAAAAAAAGTATGTGTATATATGAATACATATAAAATTAAGAATGATTTACTACAATAAGAATGTATGTTTTAAAATTTGAAAAAGTTATATCAAGGCAAAATTCCCACTGAACAGGAACATAAAACGGGTCATGTTGAAGGGGTGGGCAGCAGTGTGGGAGGCAGGTAAATGAAGAAAGTAAAGAGGGTAAATACAGTTGATGTACTTTCTACTCAAGTATGAAATACTGAAAGCTACTGTAGTCACCCTTAGAAGGGGAAAAGGGAGAATAATAGAGAGTATAGTATTAATGGCTATAATATATGAAAATGTAAGAATGAGAACTCTTTATAACTATCATAAACTAACGATTTTTTTTAATACATGAAAGACAGGACGACAAAACAGGCTGTGTCTAAAGGTGGGTACCAGTGGGAGGAGGAGGGAGCAAGAAAAGGTGAAGGAGGGTGAATATGGTGGAAGTATGCTGTATTCATGAAAATAGAACATTGAAATTGTTCTAAGAAGGAGGAATAAAGGAGAAAGATGGAGGGGGTGAATATATTGTAAGCACTTTTGTAAATGTTACAGTATACTACCATTATAAATATGTTAACAAAAAAAAAAGATATATCTGTAAGCACTTGTGTGAATGTGACAATGTACCCCCCCTTACAACTATAATATGCTGATAACAGAAAGACAATAACAAACAAAAGGTCTGGCAGAGTGGCTCAAGTGGTAGAACACCTAGCCAGCAAGCATGAGGCAGGCACTGAGTTCAAACTCTGTTACCTCTAAAAAAAATTTTTTTTAATTTGAGAAAGTTAATTTTTTTATTTCTTCATTCTATAGAGAGCACTCAAAGAATTCATTACCCTAAGAGAAGATACAGAATGAATATATACACTATTTTGAAGTAAATTAAACTCTATACAAATGTATGGATGTGAGGGAGAGAGATGATGCAGGCAAACCTAACCAATGCACAATGTAAGCATATTCAGAAATGTCACAATGAATTCCCCTGTACATCTGATGTATACTAATAACAAAAATACTTTGGAAAGACAAACAAAAATATATGTATGTTAAGTACTAGGAAAATGACAATGAATAAGACAGGGATCAAAATCAACAGAAATACCATGTTTATACAATAGATGAAGGGATGGTCAGGCAACCAGCTTTTTTTGGAGATCAAGAAAGGAATTGTGTCAAGGGAGGTATGAGGATAGGTAAGACACCTAAAAAACTAGATAGCATTTGTTGCCCTCAACGCAGAGAAACTAAAGCAGATACCTTAAAAGCAACTGAGGCCAATAGGAGAAGGGGACCAGGAACTAGAGAAAAGGTTAGATCAAGAAGAATTAATCTAGAAGGTAGCGCACATGCACAGGAAATCAATGTGAGTCAACTCCCTGTATAGCTATCCTTATCTCAACTAGCAAAAACCCTTGTTCCTTCCTATTATTGCTTATACTCTCTCTTCAACAAAATTAGAGATAAGGGCAAAATAGTTGCTGCCAGGTATCAAGGGGATGGAGGGGAGAGGAAGGGGGTGGGGGGAGAGGGGAAAAATGACCCAAACATTGTATGCACATATGAATAAAAACAAATAAATAAATAATTTTTTAAAAAAAGAAAGGAATTGTGTGAAGAGGTGATAGTTGGCAGCTGAGGCTGTGCAAACTATGTGCAACATGGACTTAAAAAGAGCTGCAATAAGAAAACATACAAAGCTACTTCAGAAAATTGTAGTAATATAGTGAAAGTTGTGTGTCCCTAATCCCAAAATCCAGCATGCTCCAAAATCCAAAACTTTTTGAGTATAGACATGATGCCACAGGTAGAAAATTCCACACCTGACCTTATAACAGATCACAGTCAAAACACAGGTGCACTAAAAATATTGTATAAAATTATCTTCAGGCTATGTGAATGAGGTACGTGTGAAACAAATTTCGTATGTAGACTTGGTCACAACTGCAAGATAGCTCGTTAAGTATACGCAGACATTCCACACTCCAAAAGAAAAATCCAAAATCTGAGACAGTTCTAGTCCCGAGCATTTTGGATAAGGGATACTCAAACTGTATATATGGTTTGATTTGAAGTGAAAAATAATAGAAATTGGCAGAAAATGGAACTCTCAGGAATCTAAAAATAAGGATTCTGAAAGGCACACCAAGGACTGTTTGAAAGCCACTGGGAAGAAGTATAGCTCTGAATTTTAGTGGCAGGTCTTACATTTTTGAATTTTGGTTTTGTTTTTTGTGTTTTTTTTTTAAACAGGCTCTGTATAGCCCAGATTGGCCTCAAACTTACTCTGTAGCCCAGGCTGCTTTGGAACTTGTGATCCTCTTGCCTCAGCCTCCTGAGTGCTAGAAATATAGGTATGAGTCACACCTGGCAGATCTTAACATTTTAATAGCTGGCACTAGGTATTCAGAAATTGACAGACAGTGCTAGAGATGTAACTCGATGGTTGAGTGTTTGCCTGCCATACATGAGGCCCTGGGTTTGATCCTCAGTACCACAAAAAAAAAAAAAAAAAAAAAAGTTGGACTGGAGGTGTGGCTCAAGCTGTAGAGTGCTTGCTTTGCAAGCGTTGAAGCTGAGTTCAAACCCCAGTCCCCAAAAAAAAAAAAGGTTTTTTTAACTTACTCTCATATTCTAAAATGGAAATTTTGAACACAGTTGCTAAAAAATTCATTCCAAAGAGGTTCCAGTGACTAGGTGTGGCTTTCTATATGTCTCCTCTCAGCCCCAATATACACAAGATGACAAACAGCCCAGAAACCAATGAGAGAAACCACATACTACATACATGTGATAACGGAGTGTCTAGTTTCAACAAACAAAACCTACAGGCAAATAAAACATAAAATGAGAGCTAAATAAGTGCTCCTTTAATTACAGATAAAGATGTATCACTCCTGTCCAGTTAAAATAGAAAAAAATCAACTTGCATCATTTGAATATGTTAAAAATTTATCTCCATAGCTCAGAGGTAGAGCACTTTCCTAGCATGTGCAAGGCCATGCTAGCACCACACAATGTTTTTTAAAAAACGATACAAGGAAAATGGAATCATCAAAGTATATATTGATTATATATAACATTAACTTACATCAAGATCAATGGAACAAAACCTCAGCATTTATAGTGTGGAATATACAAATGGTGAGTGGAAGTTTACCAATGATAATAAAGAATCACCTTTATTGGCTCTGAAAGAGCTCCTATATGCTATTATAATTCATGTCCTGGAAATTCATCATAATATAAACAGGGAGAAAAAGACAAATACTGCAAGCATTCATCTAATATTCTGCCTTCTCTTGTCCATATTCTAAAGAATACTCATTTTATCTTATTGGTGATATTAAGGTTTGAGTTTAGGGCCTAACACTTGCTAGGCACCTGAGCCATGCTCCCAGTCCTCTTTGCCCCCAATCTAAAACAGGTAAGACCAGACCAAATTTCTGCAGTCCAGCCTTTAAAAAAAAACAAAACAAAACAGATAGGGTTTTCTTGATCAGTTTGTTTTTCAGCATCTTTCCTGGAGCTGAGGCAAATCTGATTTGACTCAACTAAAAAAACTTACTTTTTCAACTTCTGGCATACTAAAGCCTGAAAAAGAGAACTTGTTTGATTAGAACTTTTAAAAGATAGGATCTTCTTAAGAAATAGGTTTATGTCTTGGACCTAAGTGCATTCTAAATGTCATCATATGACAATTTATGTTGAATTTTTGTAGATTCTGATGACTTGAAACTATTCCCTGGCTTTTTGTACATGTGGGTCACTCCTTATGTGGTCAATGTATCAGGCTAGACAAATCAATAGAATAACATCAAATAAAGTCATACTTTAAAACTAAGGAGTAACTGATATAATTGGAGGACTAACATAATATATATTACTCCTGAAGCAATCTATCAACCAAGAGAATGAGCTTTTCAGTTTTCACTTCTGAATCTGGGCCTACCTGACAAATAATGGCTCTGGACAGAAACATCATATGGTGATATACATCAGTAACTTTGGTTTTCTCACCTAATACTCTGAACAGAAGAATTTAATGTTTCTTCCTGCATGGTACTGGTTACAGCTGCTTCTCCTTCTGGGACTGCTTGTACTGGCTGTACTACATGAACAGTCCGGAAAAGCTGAGTAGGATACGGAGACTGTGAGGGCTGCATTGTCCTCAGAACTTCTGATGGCTGTGCAATTTCCACAGGATCTTTGGGTTTTGTAACTTTAGAATTCCCTGGTTTTAGAACTGGAGTAGCTCCTCCTTTTATCCCTGGACTTGAAGGCACTCTTGATCGGCTTGCTTGATTCCTATTTGAAGTGGTTGTTGAAGATAATGACGGATCTGAAGACTCTATGCTGGAACTTGGATCCTCATCATCAATATATATAAGATCTTTTGGCATTTCTTTAAACTGATACACCAAGCGCTGACCTTCCACTTTTGCCAGAATACCCCTTTGGTAATAGTACCTATTCAAAACAGACATTTCATCAGTACGTTACACAATCAAACATAATAGTCAACAAAATTGATATTTCCTAATCATAAAACTTTTGAATCAAACAAGTGAGAAAATATGTAAATGAAGGGCAGATATATAGAATATACATATATCTATTCAAAGAGAAAAGTCCTTACTAACAACTTAAGCTAAAAACAAATCTGATGAGGGGACTGTTGAAAAATGGCTAGACCGAGGGGGCGGATTGGGTGTTAAGGGAGGGGGTGGAGGTGGGGGGAGAAATGACCCAAGCATTGTATGCACATATGAATAATAAAAAATAAAAATAAATAAAAAAAAGAAAACTGGCTAGACCTTCACTTTTCTTCCTTCCTCTATCCTGCTGCTAACTTCCTGGGATAATCAAGTCTACTACAAACCTCAAAAACTTGTTCAACCTCCATGTTATAGCTTCCTATAACGTTCATACCAATTTAAATCTGATTAACTTTGATTCAGTTTTGTTTGTAAAATTTAATGATGTTCAATAGAAGTGATCTAAATATTGTTACTGATCTAAATGAACTCAAGGCCCTAAAAAAGTGTAAGTTAAGAACCAGAAACTATAACTAAATAGTTCTAATTTAAGATTGGTAAATTACATATCCTCTAAAAAGATTATTCAGGCCATTCCTATTTCTAAGCTTTTTTCAAACAATGTGTATCTTAAAGAATAAATGGCACAATCAGAGAAAAACAAAGTTTAACAATAAAATGTACCCTCATTCAAAACTTTCATGATATCTAATATTAATATTAAAACATCAATTCATTCCACTATAAAAACAATATATCACTGGGCACCAGTGGCTCACGCCTGTAATCCTAGCAACTCAGGAGTTAGAGATCAGGAGGAATGCAGTTTGAAGGCAAAGCAGGCAAATAATTTGTGAGACCCTATCTTGGAAAAACCCATCACAAAAAAGGGTGGTGAAGTGGCTCAAGGTGTAGGCCCTAAGTTCAAACCCCAGTACCTCATTTAAAAATTCGCCTTCTTGACCTTAATAGCAGACCCCAAACTCTAAAGTTGGTACAGGAAAGAGTAGGAAATACTCTGGAATTAATAGGTATAGGCAAGAACTTTCTCAATGAATCCCCAGTAGCTCAGCAACTAAGAGATAGCATAGATAAATGGGACTTCATAAAACTAAAAAGCTTCTGCTTAACAAAAGAAATGGTCTCTAAACTGAAGAGAAAATATTTGCCAGCTACACATCAAAGGACTGATAACCAGAATATATAGGGAACTTAAAAAACTAAATTCTCCCAAAACTAATGAACCAATAAAGAAATGGGAAAGTGAACTAAAGAGAACTTCCTCAAAAGAATAAATTCAAAAGGCCAAAAAACACATGAAAAAATGCTCACCATCTCTAGCAATAAAGGAAATGCAAATTAAAACCACACTAAGATTCCACTTCATCCCTGTTAGAATAGCCATCATCACCAACACCACCAACAACAGGTGTTGGCGAGGATGCGGGGAAAAAGGAACCCTCTTACGCTGTTGGTGGGAATGTAAACTAGTACAACCACTCTGGAAAAAAATTTGGAGGCTACTTAAAAATCTAAACATTGATCTACCATTTGATCCAGCAATACCACTCGTGGGGATATACCCAAAAGAATGTGGCGCAGGTTACTCCAGAGGCACCTGCACACCCATGTTTACTGCAGCACTATTCACAATAACCAAGTTATGGAAACAGCCAAGATGCCCCACCACTGACGAATGGATTAGGAAAAGGTGGTATTTATACACAATGGAATTTTATGCAGCCATGAAGAAGAATGTAATGTTATCATTCGCTGGTAAATGGATGGAATTGGAGAACATCATTCTGAGTGAGGTTAGCCTGGCCCCAAAGACCAAAAATCGTATGTTCTCCCTCATATGTGGACATTAGATCAAGGGCAAACACAACAAGGGGATTGGACTTTGATCACATGATAAATCGAGAGCACACAAGGGACATATGAGGATAGGTAAGACAAAAAAAAATTAGATAGCATTTGTTGCCCTCAACGCAGAGAAACCAAAGCAGATACTTTAAAGCAACTGAGGCCAATAGGAGAAGGAGACCAGGAACTAGAGAAAAGTTTAGTTCAAGAAGAATTAACTTAGAAGGTAACACACATGCACAAGAAATCAATGCGAGTCAACTCCCTGTATAGCTATCCTTATCTCAACTAGCAAAAACCCTTGGTCCTTCCTATTATTACTTATATGCTCCCTTCAACAAAATTAGAGATAAGGGCAGAATAGTTTCTGCCTGATAGTGAGGGGTAACAGGGGATAAAGGAAGGGGGGCAGTAAGAGCGGGGGCAGGGGGAGGGGGAGAAATGACCCAAACAATGTATACACATATGAATAAAATAAAAATTAAAAAAAAAATTCGCCTTCTTAAGCACTGAATTTAAATGCAGTGATTCAAAACATAAACCCTATAAGTTAACTTACAGTGCCTAGATATTTTCTATTCTCATTATAAATAAAATACAAGTTGAGTATTCCTTGTCTGAAATGCTTGAAACCCACGGTTTCAGAATTTTAGAGATTTTGTTTTATTTTTGAATATTTGCTGAAAGGGGTAAGGCTGAACATCCCTAAATGTAAAATTCTGAATTTGGAAATACTCCAAAATCTAAAACTTTTAATCATCATATTGGTGCTCAAAAAGTTTCAGATTTTGGAACATTTTGGATTTCAGATTTTCAGACTGGGGATCTGTTGTTTGCATGAAGATTTTTTTGTAAGGAAAATATTTTTCCCAATTGGAATAAGATTTAAATTTAAATGTGTACTGATTCCTTCAGGTATTATGGTTTTTGGCACTTCAATAAATAAAATTCAAGGTCAGGCATGATGAAGAACAACTGTAATCCCAGCTACTCGGAAGGCAGAGATGGGGAGGACTGCAGTTTGAGGCCAGACCAGGCAAAAAGTTGGCAGGACCCCATCTCAACAAAACAAACACCAGCCCACTGCAAAAGTGAGAGCTTATGTGAAAAATGAGTAACTCGAAAACATCCCGGGGGCACGGCTGAAATGGTAGCATATTTGTCAACAAGCACAAAGCACTGAGTTCAAACCCCAGTACTGCCAAAAATAAAGTGAATAAAGAAAACCCACCACTTCTTTACTCCCTTAATTTTTAAAAAGGTCCCTATTTTTCAACACCTAGGAAATGATATTCTTACCACAACAAAAACTTTATATACCTGAGTGCTCTTCCCATGGTTTCATAATTCATATCAGGTTTGTTTTTGTGCTTCCCCCACAACCTGGATACTGCTTTAGAATCTACCAGCTTAAAAATGCCTTTTTCCCGCTGGGTCCATTTGATGTATTTAGGACAGGTAGCTTTGTCCTGGAGCAGAGCCAGTAAAAACTCCCAAAGATAAATTGTGTTTCCTGAAACAAAAATAATTTAAGTGAACAATTTTTCCTTTTAAAAAAGAATAAAGCACAGCTAGAATTTACACAAAAATTACACAATTCAGTTATTATTTCTGATATAATTCAGTTAGTACTGATGATATGATAGTCATCCTTTTTAAGATCTAATAAAGATTTTTATTAGTTCTGTAAGTACCTAAACAAAGGCAATCTTATCAATTAAATTTGTGGTGATTTAGGGACAAAGAAAGCACTTTGAAATAATTTTTTCTGCATCTTTAAGACATCACCTAGAAGAAACATGAAAAAGTTGTATAAAACCTTTGACTCATTGTTCTCTTTTTATCAGAGCCAACAGATCAACGTAACAGCTTTCTTCAAACTCGAGCAACAGCAAGGAAAACACTAGAACTTCAAGACAATATAACAAAGTATATATAATCTGAAACTAGCCTGGTTGAACTCTTGCATTCTCATATTGAATGAAAGAATGGATTATTTTGATTGGCAAGTGAAAATTACACAAAAGGATTTCTCAGCCTACTTATAGGCCCATTGCAGCACTAAGTTCTAATTGCAGTATATCAAGAAAACTGGTGGTTTCCACTTATAGAACAAAGGCACTATGAAGAAATCTGAATGTTACTTGACCTGTATATTAGGGAAATTATAGTACTACTTACCCTTCCCATCTTTATTTTTTTTCTTCACAGATATATTTGGTGTAGTGCCTGGGGAATCTGGTCGAGGTGGTTTAGTTTTTCTCCCTGAAATCAGAATAGCTCTGCATAAATATTTGCCCTCAAAACTGAAAGAGAATGGACAAGTTAGCAAGTCACTTATCCAAAATTTCAAGTGCCAAATGCTTCACTTATGAGTCATATAAACTGGTCTCTCAAAATGCTGTTTACTAAAAGAAAAATAGCTTCAGTAAAAATTGACCATTAAGTAGATTAGATCACAAGTATACTTAGGTAAGAAATGATGACTTCATCTGTAAAAATGAGATTAAATTTCAAATACTGTATCTTACCTCTGAGATATACTGATAGTAATTTCCTAAAATTTTGGATAATATTCTTGACATTGATAAAACTTGAGCTAAAATTTTGAATAATATTCTTGACACTGATAAAACTTGAGCTTAAAAAGGTAGTCAATAGCTTTGTCTGCCTGTAGCCTACATAAGCTTTTCAATACAGAAGAAGTGGGATTTTAGTGTGTCTTGACATTAAATACCTAAGGCTTCTAAGAACACTCATGCACAATTTGGTCTATGAACACAATTTAAGTTCATTTGTTTTAAATACTTAGTAGCAGAATGGCCGGGTCATGCTGTTCAATAAATACTAAAATATTTAAGGAACTGACAAACTTTTCTAGAACAATTTTTCTTAATGAAGAAAGGTGGGGCAATCATAGGGCTCATCTCAATTGTTTCCTATCTCAGGGATTTTGGCTTCTGCTGATTCATGTCCAGTGTCTTTAACACCATTATGCCTTATATTTTGTCTGTTTTCAGTTGATTCAGGTATGAGGGAAAATCCATGTTCTGGTATTCCATCTTGACTAGAAGAGAAAGTTCCACCTGGTCTTTTTAATGGTCTTATTTTTCTAACATGTTATTACCAACCATGTTACTCCTTGACCATATTTTTTATTCTTTAGCTTTAAAAACCACAATCATCTTCAAAGTTTCTATTTGCTAATTTTACTATCTATGGTTCTTAGAGAACTAGCCCTAGGATTTTCTATGCCTACTGCTTCTTACTCAGGAAATGCCTTCCTCGTGCATTCTGTGATAATGTAGTCGAGTCAGCTGACCTTCAACAGGGCTTTATCTGAGGAAATCCTGTGCAGCCTAGGTTGAATATATTACCCACCACAGCAATTTTATAAAAGCAAATGCCCATAGTTATTTCCACTCTGGGGCCACTTTTACGTTAATTATTTGTCTGGGAATTCCTAAAGTCAGTGATAGTTTAAAATTTCATCATAAGTCTAGTTAAGGCAGCCAAGGAAGGATGTAAAGGAAGAATCTCTCTACTCAGAGCCCCAGCTGACAAATGCAAGCTTCCCTGACATATGTGTTTGTCAAAGTAGACCTACCCACCCCCTCTGGCAGACATTCAAGAGTTCCAGTTATGTGCTTGGGTCTCTGGACTCATACTTCTTCCTGCACAGGATCAAGACCAAGCTTCTGCACGGGCAACAAAACCAAGTCCTCTGTCATGGCCTTCGCAGCCCTTCACAGCTACTGTAGCAGCAGCTTGTTTTTTTTTTTTTTTTTTTTTTTTTGGTTGTACTGGGGTTTGAACTCGGGGCCTCATGCTTGCTAGGTAGGCACTCTACCACCTAAGCCATGTCTCCAGCTCACAATTTCTTTTTTCCTCTTCATCTTTAGCCCTTGGAATTTTTCTTACTTTGATGTGAACTTAAGTTATTGGTAGCTGGTGATGCCATTAACCAAGATCTTAAACTCAAAATATTAAACAAGCAGGAAGAATACCAGAATGCAATGAAATGGAAAGAATATCAGGCCTTAGAATGCAGCTGTAGTCCTAATTTATGAAAAGTTAGAAATTCTCTTTAAACACATTCCAAAATTTCCCTCTTCAATTACTTACCTAATAACTTCCAATTCACTGCAGTTTTCCAACTGGAATCTTATATAGGAATTACAGGTAGACTGGTAGCTTTCAAACTACACCCCCCTGAAAGGAAGCTGACTTCCTTTACCCCCAGGCTCTTCTTGAGCCAGGATAAAAGGGTTTAAATTTTAAAAATTGAAGTTTTAGAAAGTTGAAGATGTCCTTTGGTGAGATAGACCACAAATATTTTAAATGCATAAAATAATATAATTTTAATTTTAATGGCCCTATTGTGAAGTAATGCCTCAATTTGTTTTGTGCCATTGATTTTTTTTTCTTACATGTTTTAACTGGTATAAAAATATCTTTGTATAAAAATGATGTTTAACACTAGGTGTGGTGGCTCACACCTATAATTCTAGCTACTTGGGATGCAGAGATCAGGAGGATTAAGGTTCAAGGCCAGACTAGGCAAAAAGGCAGCAAGATCCCCATCTCAACCAATAGCTGGGCCTGATGACACGTGCCTGTCATCGCAGCTACATGGAAGGTATAAATAGGAGGATCTCATTACAGACTGGCCCAGGCAAAGCAAACAAACAAAAAAAAATGAGACCCTATTAGAAAAATAACTAAAGCAAAACAGGGCTGGAGGTATGGGTCAAGTGGTAGAGTGCCTATGTAGCAAGCCTGAGGCCATGAGCTCAAAACCTAGTGCCATCAAAAAAAATTATATTTGGAGCCCACATCAAGACTTGACTATTGACAGAAACAAATTAACCACCCACCTTTCTTTCTTTTAGGCTGTTCTGGTGATGATGCTCCTGGTGAGTCTACATAAGTCTCTTGCACCTGCTGAGTTTCCATCACTTCAGGAATCCCATCTAATGTGACAGACACGTGGGTGATTGGGGCAACAATGTCATCTTCAGAAGAGCTAAATATGTTATTATCTAATGGAAATAAAACCAACTAATTTTAGTCAACAGTGTATTATAAGCCAAAATAATTTCCTGTTTCTAAGAAGATTAGAGTAGAAATGAAAATCTTAAAATCTGTTGACTTTTTAATCTGTTCTCTGCCCTAAATCAAGGACCCTAAATTAGTCCCAGCTTGATGGGACTCTATCTAGTTTTTCACTAGTCTATGCTGTCTCTGCACTTTAAGTTAGCATTACCTTGTGAAACCTAAGTCTGTTTTACCACACTATTCTTCTATGTAGAAGAGAACAACCCAAAATTGCATTGTGTGCCTTTCAAAACTTCCACAATTCAAACCAAAGCTGTCTTTCCAATCTCATTTTTCACCCACCATAAAGCTTACACTTTAGCTATGGAAAAACATTTGTGTTTCAAGATTTTTTTTTTTTTCCCCACAGATCTGTGTCTATGGCTTGGTTCATTCCCTCTAGCTTGAATGCCCTTTCCTATCTCCCTGGCTATTAAAAGTTTATCATTTAGAGCTCAGGTCAAAACACTCCCTCAATAAAGCCTATCTCTGATATTCTCAGCTACAGCACTCACTGAACACTTTATTATTATGTTCATGGCCTTTATTTCTGACTTTTACAGTTATTTAAGTGATTTCAAAATAAGATTGAGAAAAAAAATAACATCTATGCACTTGTATATTATGTTATTGCTTAATGTACTGCTAACAGGCATATAGAAAGTATTCAACAAACATCTCAAATGGATTTAGTAATTAATCTTATGATTTTGGGTCCTTCCTTGCCAGAAAAATCCAAAGGAGAACATGTATTTAAAAACATATCAGTAATGTAGTAATGAGCTGGCAAGTGCTATAATCCCAGCTACTTGGGAGGCAGAGATTGGAAGGACCACAGTTCAAGGCCAGCTTGGGCAAAACTTTCACAGGACCCATTTCAATCAGTGGCTGGGTGCAATGTAGTATGCCTTCCATCCCAACAACATAGGAAAGCACAAATTGGAGGATCATGGTCCATGCCAATGTGGGTAAGACCCCATCGTAAAAATAACCAATGCAAAAAGGGCAGGTATAGTGTGGGTCAAGTGGTAGAGTGCCTGAACTCAACCCCTACAATACCACAAAAAAAAAAAAACAAAAAAGAAAGAGAGAGAGAGAGAGAGAGAGAGAGAGAGACAGAGAATGGATTTTTATGCCATAAAGAGTTGGTAAAATTTTCAATGGATTTTTGCCTATCCAATGATTACAGAGATGGCTAAATTATAACAGTGTGAGTTCAAATACCCTAATACTTTTATCAATAAGGTTAAGAAAGGAAATTCTGCATAATGTACTATGTGATAACAACTTTTTTCTTCCTAAAGATCTTGTTCCTCCAAATTACAGCTTTCTTTATACTGAACATGCCTAAACTAGTAAAATGTGCTATACTACAAAATGTTTGGGACCCCAAAAATATAAAATAGAGTCTCTGATCTTTTGTTATTTATCATCTAATAGGAAGAAATGGCAAGAATGACTTTACAAAATACATAACATGAGCAATCAAGCACTCACTTATTCGTTTTTCATCCAGCATAGGACCAGGAGAATCCATATTGAGGAGTGCCTCAGCAGCCTCAATAGTTTCAATTGTCTCATCCCCATTGTGACAGGAAGCTTCAACTACAGTACATTTAAAAAAAAAAAAAAAACAACAGAATTAGCTACAACATAGCTCTTGCTCTGAAATTCATACACTGCTACTTTCCTAAACCAGGATACATCACTTACTACTGAGTTTATATGCACACAAACTATAACATTAAATTTATATCAACATATAAAACAATATTGAATCTGGCTGGCTATTAAGTAATTAGCTATTTGGGGGTTTTTTCATTTAAAAAAAACTTTCCAAGATGCTAGAGGCAAAAAAAGCAAAATAGACTCTGATTCTGGAGGAAAGCCACTAATCATTTCTCTGATGATTCTTATATTTTCCAGAAAAAATAGGGAGGGGATTAGACTAGAGTAGAAAAGGATTCTTGAATGATAGAAATTTTGGCATTGGGCAAATTGCTTTTTATCTCTAGGCCCCATATTATGAAATGACTGGGTTGATACTCTTAGGAACTTTTTAACTCCAAAATCCATGTTCATACTCTTAGTTCACTGCTGGGAACAGAGGTCTCCATTAATCTCTCAATCTCCTGTTCTTCTCTAATTAGTGAATTAGCACAACTTCCAAGAAGTTGTAGGTACAGTCACACTGTTAGAATCTAAACCTGGTTTGGTAAGTATCATGTTCTACTACCATATTTCTCATTGACTATGCCTAATACAAGATACAAATTACACATTTTTATCTGAAAATATATATACATATATACATATATATATATATATATATATATATATATATATATACACACATATATATATATATTCAGGGATGGACAGTATGAAACTAAATAAGTCTTTTAATTTTATACAAGGATAAAAATAAATACAAACACAGCATTTGTAAAAGAAGAAGAAGCTCCACAGGTAAGAGTGAGGTCTACAGATTTCAAAAAATTTTAGCAGCACAACCCTTTTCCCAAATGAAAACTTACTTGGACCTCCAACATACAAACAAACAAAAGTGGTATTTTTTAATGTACACTTTCATAGATTAAAATTTGTATCAAACAATATGAAATAATTCAATGATTAAATTTTTTCCACTGTACAACCCACTGCAGTGCCAGCAGCCTACAGGCAGAAGACAGGCAATGGTTCAGAGCCACAGTTTGCTCTGGCATGGGACACTATGTGAGACCAAGGGGGACTAAAACTAATTTTGATCAACACGAAAATCTGAAATCAGAAGTTATATATAACAGCTGCAATCTAATCTAAGCCTCAAATTTTATAGTCACTAGGTCTTTTTATTATTGGAAATTACAAGCAAAAAACTGTAAAACAGTATCATGACACCCCATGTGTCCATTCCCAATGTCAAATATCATCAACAAATGGCCACTTTTCTTTCATTCATGCCTATTCACTACCCAAGTCCTTACCCTCCAAAAAGGATTATCCTGAAGGAATCCAAGACCCCATATTTTATCTCTAAATGTGTTAGGATGTATATCTAAAAGGTAAGGAGTTTAATACAATATCAAATCTAACAATAAATAATTCCTTAATACTGTTTGTTATGCCCCTCAAGTCCATAAGTTGGAGCTGGAGATTTAGCCAAGTAGAATACTTGCCTAGTATGCACACAACCCCCAGAATCACAAAAAAAAAAAAAAAAAAAAATCATTAAGTTGAATTCTAACCTTCAGTAGCTCAGTATATGACTGTACTGAGACAGTGTCTTTAAAGAAATAATTTAGCTGAAATAAGGCCTCTAGGGTAGTACTGTAAACCAACACTTCCAGTGTCCCTCTAAGAAGAAATCTGGACACAAAAGTATAGCGGAAGACTGTATGAAGACACAAGGAGAAGATGGTCATCCACATGCCCAGGAAAGAGGCCTCAGAAGAAACCAAACCTGCCAACATCTTGACCTTGGACTTTTAACTTTTAGAACTGTGAGAACATGTCTGTTTGAGGTACCCACCCTGTGGTACTTTGTTATGACAGCCTAACAAACAACTATACTATCTGAAACATATGCAAGAGCAAACTATCACTGTCTCCTATTCCTCACTCTGGAGCTACTAGCTTCTTCCCTTTTTCTTCACATTGTTTAGGCAAGGATACTTAGTTAAACAAAGGCTTGAATGAGGAGATAAGAAAAGGAAAAGGGATTCTGGGCAGAGATCTGGACAACAGTGGTTCATGAGACCGCATCTCAGGAAATCCAGGCATGGTGATGCATGCCTATTAAACCCAGCTACGTGGTAGGCACAGGCAGGAGGATCATGATCCAACGCTAGCCTGGGCAAAAAGTGTGAGACCGTATCTGAAAAATATCTAAAGCAAAAATGGCTGGAGAGTGGCTTAAGTGGTAAAGCGCTTGCCTACCAAGTTGAGTTCAAACCACAGCACCACCAAAAAAAAGGGTTGGGGGGGAAGGACATGCAAATAGAAAATCTGATTTGAGATATGGCTGGCTCTCTTGAGCCTTCCATACCTGTTCTATTTGCTGGGAAGGAGCCTGCTGTATCTTTTCATCTGCTATCTTCAAGTCCAAACCCAAAAGAATGAAACACTTAAAGAAACAATTCCTTCTCCTGAAGATTTAATATCTGCTTTCCTAATATCAATTTCCTCTCTGGGGGACAGAGGCTTCCCTGATGACTAAAATCAAGAATAAGTATTCCTTTTCAGGGGGAGACACTGGTTCCCAACCTACAAGTTACATCAGGATATACTGCAAAAACCCCGGTAGGTGCACAACACATACATGGTAGTGAAGGTCACTATTATAAAAATCACATGGTCACAGTCAGCAATGAACAGAAACTTTTAATCTGACTAATCCAATTTTCTCTTATTGATACACTTCATTGGTTTGCTCTCAACAAAGGATGTGAATAATAGCCAGGCACCAGTGGCTCATGCCTGCAATCCTAACTACTTAGGAGGCTGAAATCGAGAGGATCGCAGTTTAAGGCCAGCCTGAGCAAATAATTCCTCTCCAAAATAATCAGAGCAAAATGGACTGGAAGCATGACTCAAGTAGTACAGCACCTGCTTTGCAAGTGTGAAGCTCTGAGTCCAAACCCCAATCCCACCAGAAAAAAAAAGACTTTATATAGGAACTGGAGATGTTGCTCAGTGGTAGAGCGCTTGCCTAGCATGCTGAAGGTCACAGAGTCAATCCCCAACGCTGAGGTGGGGTGGGAAGGAGGGAATGAATTATGATAAAATTCATTATAAAATAATGATAAAATAAATTATGTAAAATATAGAGAACACACACAAGTTAGGTGTTGCCAGCCAAATGTTATCAATGGAGGTTCTGCCACTCAATAACTTACCCTTACTTTATTACTATAAGAAATATAAGAATTACCACCAGGCACCGTGGCTCATGCCTGTAATCCTAACTACTCAGGAGACAGAGATCAATAGGATCTCAGTTCAAAACCAGCCTGGGAAAATAGTCCTCAAGATCCCATCTCATCATATGTTCTCCCTCATATACAAACTTTAGATCCAGGGCAAATGCAGTAGTGTTGCTGGACTTGGGTCACATGCTAAGGGGAGAGCACATACAGGAGGAATGGGGATAGGCAGAAAACCCAAAACTTGAAAATGTCTGATGTCCCCACTACAGAGGAGCTAATTACAGAAACCTTAAAACAATAGAGGTCAATATGGGAAGGTGACCGGGAAGTAGTGAAGAGGCCAGGTAGAGATGAATCAATACGGGTTATAATACACTTGTGCATGAAAGCAATGCTAGGAATCTCTCTGTATAGCTATCCTTATCTCAACAAGCAAAAATGCTTTGTCTTTCTTATTATTGCTTATGTCTTCTCTTTAACAAAATTGGAGAAAAGGGCAGAACAGGTTCTGCCTAGAAGCAACGGGGGTGGGTGCGGAGGAAAGGGAGGGAGCGGAGGGGCAGGGGGGAGAAATGACCCAAACAATGTATGCACATATGAATAAATGAATAAAGAAAAAAAAAAGATCCCATCTCAAAAAAAACCCATCACAAAAAAAAAGAAGCTAGTGGAGTGGCTCAAGGTGTAGGCCCTGAGTTCAAATGCCAGTACTGGGGAAAAAAATGAATACACTTTTTTTTTAGCTTACTAATTTGATGAATTAAGGAGACAATGCCACTTTTGTAACATTCTTATCAAAAAAATGTGTATTATTTCTATTTCAATCACACCACTAAAACTGAGGGACATGTTACAAAATACATAACTAATGCTCTTCAAAGTTTCCAGGTTAAGAAAGACAAGGAAAGACTGAGGAACTGTTACAGACTGGAAGATACTAAGAAGAAATTATTTTTAAAATAATATGTGAGAATCTGAATAGCATCCTGGAAAAGAAAAGGAGAATTAGTGTGAAATTAGTGAAATATAAGTAAGATATAGGTTGAGTTAATACTGTTATGACCAACATTCACTTCCTGTTCTTAATGAACGCATAATGGTTACATAAGATATCACAAGGGGAAGCAAGATGAGAAATATAAGTGAACTCTGTGCTATTTTTGTAACTTCTAAGACAAAAAAAAAGAAGTTTTAAGAATACTCTCACAGTTATCCTACAGTAAGCACTCAATAACTGATAGTTATCATCTCCATTTACTACTACAGATATTTGCAATTTTACTCAGTCCCAAATCAATCTTCCCTTCCTTCCTCCAGTAAGAGCTGCTCTTTATGATGAGTTCCAAAAACACTATTCCTGGCCTAGTTTTTCAAGTCTGTAAAAATCAGAAATCCACAATTCCTCTTGTCCTTTCCAGCCTTTACTTTTACATGTCACCTATTGATTCTATATACAATCCACAAATACCATCACTGCAGAGCTTTCTGGAGTGTTATGACAAAAACGTCTTAACTGTTTGGCTCCATGTCTGTGCCTCAAAGTTATCATCTTTCATTGTCTTTTATCATGTTTCCAGTATCTTGAGTGAAAATAGTATTTTTACTTCACACTGTATTTGCTTACTAAACAAATAACTCTCTTGGCCATACAAATAGAATATTTGTATTTTGTAACTTATCATGACTTCAAATTCTATGTCCATTTAGGGTTGCTGAATCTCAAGAGCTCTCTATACATGAAGGATATTAATCCTTTACCTACCATGTAGATTGTAAATAATCTTTACCCATTTGTCATTTGACTTTTTACAGCAGTTACACTGCTTTGTAGGGTAAAAATGTTTTCAATATTTGTCACCAAAATCAACATATCTTTTTCCTTTGCACTTTCACCCTCATTTTCATGCTTAGAAAATTGAATAGTTAACTTTTTTAAAGGTTTTTTATGGTGTCCCTTGTTATATTAAACCCATTTGGGAGTTACGTTGCTATTTTGGAATACAATTAAAATAGAAATTTAACTTTCTTTTCGCTAGCCCACCAAATGAAAATCCAGTCATTCTTCCTTTTTCTTCTGATTTAAAATGTCGCTAGATCATATGTAAACTTCTTAAACACATCAGTACCTGCATCTAGACTTAATATTCAGTACTAATAATCCAACTATTTTTTCACTAATACTGCCTTTTTAGTTACTGCCACTTCAAAAATGTTAGTATGGGGTAGCCTAAGTTATTGATGCAAGAAATCTTTACTGACTACATACTATGTATCAGGCATTGTATGAGGTGCTAAGGTAAAGCTGAAAACAAGGCAGCCACAAAGTCACCAAAAGTAACTACAGATATACCAAATTATCCCTATTTTAGGTAAATGTGCTTTTGAAATAAAGATGCAAATACTTCCTCCCAAATAATTAATTTTCTCTAATACCCCCAACATCTCTGGGCAAGATACATGAATGTAAACATACAAAACTACAAAGCATGTACCAATTTTTAAAACTTAGAAATTTATGTAGTGTACTCTTTAAGTTTGAAATATCTTACTAGTTCTGACTGAATCTGAAGAAAAATCTTATAGAGATCCCAGGACCTTGCCATACATTTAGGTAATGGATTACTATTTTGTTTCCTGTGGCAGTCAAAGAACATCCCTGTTTCTCCCTATATACAATATCTCATTCTGTTCTCAGGAATAGAGCTGGGCCTATAAGAAAGTACACAGTAAAGACATGATGAGTTATGAAGGCTTGATTCTCCTGACTTGCCTCCTATTTTGCCCCATCCATCTTGATATATTCAGGAAAAAAGAAAGGGGAAAGGAGAAAGCAGTATGAAGCAAATTACAGAAAGTGTCATTTTCTCCCCGTAGTGCTCTATCTTCTGCACATAGCGCTTACTCAAAACCAAGGTAGAGACTTCCTATGCTTCAAAACCCTCAACTAGGACACTGCCTAAAACTGTCATGCTAGAGACATGCGCACCTGTAAGGGTGATATCATCGTCGTCGTCATCTATGATTTCTTCTTCAGCAACATCCAGTGAACTCTCCGTGATCATGTCATTGGGCTCTTCCACACAGGCCAGACCAGCATAGCTATTGAGAATGTCAGCACCAGGAACATGTTCCACAATTACAGCAGGAAAAATGGCTGGATCTCCAAGCTGGGAGGAGTTGAGAGAAAGTGAGGCCAAACAAAAGATTAACAAAGCTTTGCTTTTGTTAGATACCAACCCAAAAATATTTTACACTGCTATTTGCTTTTTGCAATGCTGAAGATCAAACTCAGAGTGCTGCTAATACCCTGAAATACTGGGCTACATCCCACCTCTATTTTATACTTTATATTGATTGTAGTTTCTACATCATCAGCTACTTACATCTTTTCCCCCCATGACTTCATGAGATAAGGTTTCGCTGTGCCCCCTAAGCTGGCCTGAACTCATTATGTAGCCCAGGCTAGCCTCAAACTCAAGATCCTCCTATGAGCCAGATGCCGGTGGCTCACGTCTGTAATCCTAGCTACTCAGGAGGCAGAGGATCCTGGTTTGAGGTCAACCCAGGCAAATAGTTCCATGAGATCCTATGTCAAAAAAAAAAAAAAAAAAAAACCCATCACAAAAAAGGATTGGTGAGTGGCAAAGGTGAAGGCCCTGAGTTCAAGCCCCAACACCATAAAAAAAAAAAAAAAAAAAAAAAGAGATCCTCCTGCCCTCTCCTTCCAAGTACTGGGATTGGATGTGTGAAGCCCCACGCCCAGCTCCTCTACTTACAAACTGACAATTTTAGGCTGCAAGCCTATGTATCTATGCCACATAAACTTTCATTACTAATCTCAGGTTTTTATAAGCAAGTTTTCATTGAGTAGAACTATTAATGTACATTCTTAAATGATATTACGTAGGAAACTAATAAGGTATCATGAGTGCCTAAGCATGGACAAAGAAGTGGCATACAAGTGAAATGTACAATTAAATAAAATTTAATAAAAGTTTCTTTAGCATAAAAAAAGTCTGAGTTTTATAAATAATATAGTCTCTTGGCACACAGGCCTTGCTTTAACATCTTTTGAGTCACATTTTCTATTATTGTCCTCTTCAAGAATGGCTATATTAAGAACATAAATTACCACTACTAATGTCTGGTTATGAAGTCACAGAACTTTAGAACTGAAAAGATCCTAAAATTTTAACCTAGTTCAGCCACCTCATTTTATAGAGGAGCAAACTGATCCAGAAAGCATTTATAACAAACTATATAGCTCAAAGAATTCTGACACAATCTTAACCCATATTCTCCCAACCATAACATTTAATCACATCTATTTATCACTGTCTTCTGATATTTTTTATCAATTTATTGGAAAGTGGTGGACCTATTGCTTCTTTAGCCCAATACTACAGTGTAACTAATACATTATATTCTGTAAAAGCAGCACAATTTCCCAAACCAGGAAAGTTAACTATAACACTTTACTACTGTCTACAGAACGTGTTTAAGTTTCCCCAATTTTCTAATATTCTTCGCAAAAGAAAAAAACTTTTTTGGCTCAGGATCCAACGCAGGATCATTTAGCAAATATCCTGTTTCTTAATGATAACTCCTTTAACTGGAACAGTTTCTTCTCCTTTAGTTCGGAGTGACTCTTTAGTCTTTGCCTTTCACAATCTTAACTTACTTTCTCTCTGACACAGGATCTCACTATGTATCACAGGCTGGTCTTAAACTCGAGATCCTACTGCCTCAGCCTTCCAAGTGCTGGGATTACAAACGTGTGCAATCACACTTGGCTAATTTCAACTCTTGTAAAGAAACAGATCATTTTAAAAAACAAATGACAGGGGCCGGAGGAGTGGCTCAAGTGGTAGCAAGTGTGAAGCCCTGAGTTCAAACCCCAGTACCACCAATAAATGAATGAATGAATGAATGAATGAATAAATAAACAAATAAATGACAGAAGTGTAAAAAGGAGAGTATTTGGGCATAGGAACCAGTGGGAAGTGGTAGGACAAAGGAGAGAGTATAAACGAGGGGTGCATATGATCAGAGTATTTTAGATGCATGTATTTAAAGAATGAAACCTGTTCAAAATTACTTAAAGAGGGAAGATAAGAAAAACTAATAGAGGGGGTGAATTTGATCAAAGTACACTACATGCATGTGTGAAAACACTACAATGAAACCCACTTGTACAATTAATATACAGTAATAAAAGAAGAATACAAGTCATTTGTTTTATAGACTATCCCCCTACTTGAGTTTGAATATTTCTTCACAGTTAGATTCAGTTTGCATATTTGGCAAAAATACCAAAGAAGTAATGTTATGTCCTTTAAAATGTATCATGTCAAAAGGCCCAAAATATATCTTTGTCCCCAATGCTGGGAATATTTACCCTGATCACTTAGTTAAGGTGATATCTACCTGGTTTATGCTCTATAAAGTTACTACTTTTCTTTTGTAATTAAGAATTATTTTGTGAGATGATACCTCAAGACTATGTAAATATTCTGTTTCTTAGGTAAACATTTCCCCACTAAGTTTATTCTCTTAGACGTGAGAAAAAGCTTCTACTCATAGACAATAAAATACTTTGCTATTTTCCTTAAGTCTGCTATACTGAAAATATTATTTATGGTTTCACTATATGCTAAACAGCAGTATAGAACTGCACACTCTGGGTAGGTATGATTTCTATCCTAAGAATTCAGTTAACTAAATTTAATATATTTCTTAGGTGCTAAACAGGTACTATCCTTGCCTTCAAGAATGCTAGACTCTGAAATTTATGGGTAATTACCCTAAAGCACATTTGGATCGTTTCATTTCAACATATTTCTTCCTGTTTCAGAAAAGAGGAAGTTAGCCAGAAGTAACCGGCTTTTCAAATTATAAAAATAGTTTTCAAACAGAAACTAGGGGCTTAAAAATTATACTGTCAAACACACACACACGCAAGAAAGAAAATATATAAAATATCCAAAGTAAGTACAGACATTTGGCCTTCCCACTTCCTGTCCTGAGAGGTGATTAGTTGGGCACACAATCCAACCGAGCAAGAACATGCACTTGTTAAAACACTTCACTCTCTCTTTCCTCCTAGGAGCTCCACTTAAGCTTCTACTCTTCTAACAAGGCTGAGCCCAGAGTTCAGTAGAGTTTTTATATGACATCATTTTATGTTGTCACAACCCTATGTACAAACCCCACATAAGAAATGTGCTCATCACCCCATTCAATGTTAAATAAGAAATTAGGTTAAGAAATCTACTCAAGGCCAGGCTCAGTGGTTCACACCTATAATCTCCATTATGTAGAAGATGGAGATGAAGGGAATCAAGGTTTGATGCCAGCCTGGGCAAAAAAGATAGTGAAACCTTATATCAACCAGCAAGGTGGTGTGTGTACCTGTGATCCCAGCTAGGTAAGAAACCAAGAGGACATAAGTAGGAGAGGCTCCTAGACTAAAGGCTGGCCCCAGGCAAAAACATGACACCCTACCTGAAAAGTAACTCATACACAAAAAGAGCTGGAGTGTGGCTAAACTAGTAGAGCACTTGCTTAGCAAGGACAAGGCCTTGAGTTCAAACCCAATACCAAAAAAAAGAAAAAAGAAAAGAGAAGAAGAGGGGAGGAGGAGAGGATAGAGAAGAGAATGCAATTCACAAGTGTAGCTCTCACCCAAATAAAACCAAACTATTCCTCCTATTCAAATGTCCCTGACTCTCACAAATTAGGCAGACTGGTCAGAGTGCAGATATTGTAAGGGATAGTGCCACAATTTTACCTGATCTATATAACTTCTACATTTCAAATAACTATAGACACTTAATTTGCTTCCTTGACCTATTCTACTAAACTGTAATTGAACTGGAGTTGCCGATTACTTTTTCCCCCAGAATTTACAGGCTGCAGGAACATCTACCACAATAATCAATGCCACTTCTACTCAGTGTCCTCCCCAAGGCAACTAGTTTTACCAGTTTCTTTGATCCCCAGCAGAGAGACTATACATAATCAACTATATTCTACTTTGCTTTAAACCAACATCTTAATTTCAGCTCAGATAACTTAACAATTTTTAAACTATTTATTAAGAAAAATTTTGCCAGTGTGGTGGTTCACACCTATAATCCCTGCTACTCAGGAGGCAGAGGTATGTAGTCCCATGCTGGCCTGGGCAAAGCCTGAGACCGTACTTAAAAAATAAACTAAAAGCAAAAGGTCCGGGAGCATGATATAAGTGGGACAGCACTTGCCCTGCAAGCTAAAGGCCTTGAGTTCAATCCAAAGTCATGCCAAAAAAGGAAATGAAAAAAAAAAAAAAAAGGGATAAATTGGGCTAGGGATATAACTTGCCTAGCATGCACCAAGACCCTGGGTTTGATGCCCAGCACTGCCAAAAAAAAAAAAAAGAAAAAAAATTCAGCCACAAAAGTAGAAAGAAAAATGTTTCCTTTACAGCAAAAGCTTTATTAAAAGTTAAAAGATACAAGGTTCTATGATTTAGAAGGTGGCACTGTGTAGTTTAAAAAAAAAAAAAAAAGGAGGAGGAGAAGGAAAGAAAATTTGTTAGTCAGGAGACCTAGGGCCTTCTCCAACACTGATGTCATAACCATTAAAGCACCCTTCCACATTTTATTTTGTTAAGATAAATTTTAAATTTATGGATTCGAAAAACTGCCTAATCATACAAGATGACAACAGAGAGCTTATTCTCATGTGAGTAGCATGCACAGTGGTCATACAGCTGCTGCCTCTGCTATAGCTATTCGCTAGCACAACGCAGTATGTACCAGGCATTTTGCTCATTGCTTTACGTGAATTATCCCTCCAATCACCACAACACCCTACAAAGGAGATATATTGGGCTGTTTTATGCATGAGAGAGTAAAGGCAAGGGGTAGAGAAACGGAGTTGGCCCACCATATCCTCAGATTTAAAATGCAGAGGAAAAATATTCAAAAAAATTACAATTGTACTGAGCATATACAGACATTTTTCTTATTTATTTCCTAAATAACACAGTATAATGACTATTTATATAGCAGTCACATTGTACCCCATATAAGCAATCTAGAAATTTAAAGTATATGGGAGGGAGTTCGTGGGTTATGGGAGGGAGTTCGTGGGTTATGTGGAAGTACTACACCTTTTTATATAAGGGACTTGAGTATCTGCAGATTTTGATATCCACAGAGGTCCAGGAACCAATCCCCTCAGATATTAAGAGAACCACAAGTTATAGTAAGTGACAGAACCCTAACTTAAACTGACTCCAAGGTCTATGTTTTTTTCTTGCACACTGTTATAGTCAGCATTAAACATGGTGGTTTTGCTTTGTTATATACTTGGCTCCGTTTACAAACACAATAGGTAAGCAGCCAAGTTTGAGGGTAGAGGTATGGCTTAAATATTATCTTTTCCAGGGACTCATCCATCTGAATGTATAATAAAACTGTTCAGCTCCTCTCAGTCCACAAGGTGCATCCCAG